AAGTGTAATAGATATTGGCTGATTTCGTCAATGTAGTAATACCGTAATAACTGAGACGCGATTGTAATAGAAATATTACAATTGTAACAACAATCCCAACCCTGATCAGAACCATGGAATTTCATTGTTGATAATTAGCTTCTAGAGACAGGGTACTACAATTAATCATTGCGGTGGGGGAACGCTGCAGCGAAAGCAGGTTAATGAATAATCTGCAATAGTATGATTCATTTTACAACTGAAAAGTGAAATGGCATATAATACCTGGTAAGATTGACTGATATGTGATTGCACGACTTTCTTCCTGTTAATAAAAGTTATATCCAACATTGTTTATTTTCACAATCAGAATTATTGAAATAAGTTATAAGCTGTTCGTTGAGTGACATGTTTGTCAATAAGTTTTCGATGGAATTATTAAGTATTTCAAATCAGATTTAGTGATTTTGCAATATGATAACCTTCATTCTTTCCTATATAAGATATATTTCTGAACTCTCAGAGTTGCTTTGATATTTGAATAGTTGTAGATAAAGTATAGTATTCTACTTGCGCATAATGACTATTACCCACTCAGATGATTACAGCACTCGCCTTCGGCTCGTACTGCAACTTTCATCTTCGTGGGTAATAGCCATCATTATGCGCTCGTTGAATAATATACTATTATCAATTAGATATCTATTATTTCGTTCTCTGTTTTACTCGCTAAATTTGCGTGTTCGGCTTCACGTTCGCTCCGCCTCGCAAGCGATATCGCTTGTCAAACAAAGTGACCAGCAAACACAGTTACATCACAGAGATATACAGTATGATGCAAATGTATGGAATAAATTCATTTCAAAACAAGACGACTTTCAAAAAAAAAACCAAAAACTAGAGTTTAGAACTATTTTTTCGACGTATTTTTTTTAACTAGACGACCCTTCGATGTTCAATTCTCAGTAGCAGACCTCTGCAAGATTCAATTAATCACATGATAATCCATTTTAATTTCAATCTTCTCATGCAACGTTTTGACTGTTGAATAGACGATCGGTAGACCTTTCAATCAAGGTGTCACATGACCCCTATTTGTATTTGAAAAAATCGTCCATTACGTCTTTACTCCAACACCGGTGACGTAACATCTCTCATATGAATATCATGAGATGAGGCTTCAGAAATTAAAACTCACGTGTTTTTGGAATTTTTTCAAATGTCGCCCATTTCTGAAATAATGAATTTATTCCATACATTTGCATCATACTGTATATCGAAGCGATGTTACAATTGTGACCTGCGATATCGCATTCTATGTCGCATAGACGTCGCCCTGCGATATCAGAGGGATGTTATTTTATCCCACTCAAGTTTCATCCATGTGACGTTGTCGATGCGATAAATTCTCTGCTTAAGGGACATGTGAGCCGTTTTGGTCGATAATGAATAGTTTCAACACAAACAAAACCTAAAGTTGAAAAATCTCGATTTTGAACACCCTATATCTCTGTAATCATTTCCGATAGACCCCAAGTGTGATGCATCGATGAAATCAGTTCTTCAGGGAGAATAAAAATACAGGTTATTCTATTTGAAATAACAAAGTTGTTGCTACTTTTTGAAAGAAGCGGCAACAATGCATTGCTGAAAATATGTTAAATGAATAGAGCGTATTCTTAAATAAGAGCATGCATATCTTCATGAATTTCTCGCGAATGATTATCGATATACAGATAGTGTAAGCTCGTCGTGACATATACCCTGTATAGTATCAGACATAATAATCGTTAAAGTAAAACTTGATGGAAACTCCATCATGGCCCACTAGCAAAAATTCATCATAGTCTGATGTTTTAGTGTTTTTTAGGATTTCTGGAAATCCTATGTATAAAGTTTTATGCGTCGTTTTGAATGGAAAGAAATAACGAATTCAACCTTGGATACAACTAAATAATAAAATGAAATTTATGTATCTCCGAAATCATAACCCCTAAAGAAATTGAGTACGCCACTGAATTCTACGCAAAATTCTCTGATAGACGAAGTATTCGTAGTACCTAACTCAGCATAAACTTATTATTTCTAATAAGTTCGTAGAGAAGCCTGGCAGTCTATAACCCAAAATGTACAATCAAATCTGAAATACCCTGTATGTCTCCTTGTGCATTTTACACTCTTCGAGAAATTTGCTAGATTTTTCACTTCTTCTGACTGTTAAACTCTTTCTCAAATCACTAGAGATTTTCGTGAAAATTATATTTTCAGCCTGTGTTTAATTTTCTCAAATCGTTAGACTTTCGAAAATAATAGTGCCAGTATATCCGTGTTCAATTCTTCATCTTATATCTTGTATACTATATATCTGTTGCCCCTGTATAATTTCATTATCGTCATTAGTCATAGATAAATCATTTGTTCGGAGATTAATCTGTTAGTAGCATGATTCAACCTATTAGTCATTCATTCGAGACCAGGTGGTGAATCAAGACAGTCTTATATTAGATGTCATCACGTACGGTCGACTTTTCTGATCGCAATTGAAAAATACGCGAAAGGAATTATTCATCGTTCTAAACGGAGTGTTCACTTAAAAATGAGTGCAAGTATTCTGTTTTTGTGTTCCTAATACAATTCAGTGATTATATTATCGCGATCGTGTGCTGTTCTGGTGTTTCGTGTCACTTCGTGTTGTTTCATCAAAGCTTCGCATTTTTCACCCTGGTGAGTAGAGATAAATTCTCTCAAGTTTTCCTCATATTTCCCTCTTTCCTCTTTACTTTCAACTTCATTACCTTATATGTTTGAAAATCACAAAGGTACCGCTTGTTGAACATTTTCCGATGAAGGAATACTTTCTTCTGATATCTTCGTTCTTTCCGTTCAGAACTATATTTTTTCAGAAGATAATAATGCGAAATGAGCAAACCAGAAGAAAATAAGACGATTCGAAATTTCCATGGAAAAATACCTTTTGCCTATACAGAATGTTCCTTTTTTCAAATGTACATACTATATACCTGCAGATATAGAAAACTTTGGTGGTTCCAATCACCCCCTATCGATGTGTCTACCATCTTTTATAACTGCGATACAGAACGTAACATTGAATTCGGCAAAATCTGTATAATCGATAATTAATTTATATTATTCATCAAAACTGAATAGGAATAAAATTTAGAATCCAGAACCGTCTTCAGGAAAAACAGAAAAAACTTCTTCTTTTTCAAAAACAACACTCTGTATATCGGAATTTTGTAGATATGTTTTGCTATTTGCAAAGAGCGGAAAAACTAATGAATTGGCATACCTCTTAGTAGTGCGCTTCCAATATGACATTTTTTTTTCAAATATTTTCCGATGTATAAATATATTTTCTTCTGATTTTCGTACTTACTACTACTCAGAACGGTATTTTTTCAGAAGAAAATGATACGAAAAGAGCAAACCAGAAAAAAATAAGACAATTCGAGATCATTTCATGAAAAAATATTTTTTGCTATACAGGGTGTTTCAGATTCAAATGTACAAACATCTTTTATAACTGTGATACAGAACGTACCTTAATCTTGATTTTGGCAAAATCTTTATCTGGTCGGCTCATAACTTCTGAACCATGGTGTATAATCGATTCATACTCGATAGGTATAATCAACGACTTTTCAACAGACAGAAAGCAGAGTGTTTGATACTTGCCACTAAGTCAGAGAAAACCATCCAGTCAAGACGGACCGAACAGAAAATCCGCAGAGAGAACTGACCAGAGTATACTTTTCAGAATTCTGATCCTTATATTCGTACGGAAGGCGATATATTGAATTCCTTTCCAGATTCTCAAGCAAACAGATAGACAGATATTTACCTTTATGTCTCTATGAAAACACGACAGGTACCCTTACGAGGGGAGAGTATCAACTCGGCGTTTGTAAACCCTCTCCGCAAAGGAGGTCGGCGCCATATACGTTCGGCGCATGGTGAGTTCGGTATATACATCAGTGTTTTTCATTGCAGAGAAAATCGTTGTTTATCTGCCTACCTCGTCTGCATTGAGAGATTTGATGAATTGATGAATAATCATAAAAATATATCGCGTTTTAGTTAGGAATAATGAAAACAATATTCAGACTTCGTAGATTTATATTCTATGTACGTGTCACGATTAGAATTTCAAATTGATGCTCAGTTTTAGATCCGAGCAGCACGCATTGTTTGGCATTCATGTTCCTTATTATAACCCACAAAATTGAAAATGTGGAAGATGTTTACTGGGAAAACCACTTTTCGGAATGAGAGCGAATATGTAGCAATCCATTTACGGTTGTTGGAAATATTATTTAGGTATGTTTCAGATTCAACATCAGTTTCAATACTCATGGCTTTCTAATATGAGATGTTTAGTTGCAGAGAAAATCGTTGTTTATCTGCCTACCTCGTCTGCATTGAGAGAGTTGATGAATTGATGAATAATCATAAAAATATATCGCATTTCAGTTACGAATGTTGAGGAAAATGTTCAGACTTTATAGATTTATATTCTATGTACGTCTCACGATTCAAATTTCAAATTGATGCTTAGTTTTAGATCCGAGCAGCACACTGTTTGGCATTCATGGTCCTTATCTCAGTACTTATTATAACCCACGAAATTGAAAATGTAGCAGATGTCTACTGGGAAAACCACTATTCGGAAGGAGAGCGAATATGTAGCAATCCATCAATTACGCTTGTTGGAAATATTATTCAGGTATGTTTCTAAATTTCTTGGAAATATTAGTGGGATGCAGTCTGGACCAATGAATTAATTAAATTTCTATACATCTCTATCGGATTTAATCGATGACGTACTGATCTTTACGCCACTGAACAGGAAGATTTGATACGCCATTGGATAAAAAATAAATAAATAAGAAGTGTTTGTGTCTTATAATGGCTGTGTACTGAAGCACAGGAATTGAATAGTGGAACGGGAAGTAAAAATAGAAAGTAGATTATCTTTGGTTATGTTTATGTTCGAGCTTGATGAATTTTGTGAATATTGTAAACATTTGAAATTTGGAATCCTCGAATGAATTATTGCTAGGAAGATGTTATCGTTGAAGCACAACTGTAGATTTATTGCTAACAAAATATCAGAAGCGGTTAATGGTCGACAGCCAGTTTTAAGTGAAACACTAGGGCGCCAAATAAGTTTACTCAACCACCCTCTGAAAAAATTGTTCAGTTCTAATGTTGAAGGTTCACCAACTCTGGCAAATCACAACAATTCACCAGGTGGAAATACCGAAACAGAAACCAACTATGATGCCATCACAAATGGTGACAAGACTTTAGAAACTAAATTAAAAATCATAATGTTGGAGGCTGAAGTATTAAGACAAGAAGGAAAAGCAGTGCCAGAGAGTTCATTTGTTACTGAGGAACAATGGAAAGAAATATTAAATCTGACCACAAGGACGGCAAGAAAAAAATATTTTGAATATTTGTTCAAGTTGTCTAAAAGGCTGGAAAATGTTCAGGTATAAGCTCTAATAATTAATTTAATATGTATGCATATTTTATATGATGCCCATGTACTCATGTAGGTTAAAAAGGAACAAAAGCGTTTGGAATTTGAAGAAATCAAGAGGAGAAAAACAGAAGAAAATAAGGGTGAAGAAACTATAGAAGATCATGCCTTGAAGTATGATCTTCAACATAACAATATCTTCCTAAGATTTTATGACACTACAATAAACCAAATGTATAATAACAGACTTATACAAGCCATTCAATTTGGACAAAAACTAGTAGTTGACTGTGGATATGATGGTAACATGACTAAGAGAGAAAACCAGAGCTGTGCAAAACAACTTATGCTGATATTTGCTGAAAACAGGCTTCATGATGGTAAGAAATGAATATGGAAATAATATTTGAGATCCTTCATTATAGAATGTTCTAGAACCTTTTGATGTGCATTTTTGTAATGTACACAGAGATAGTGAACTAATCAAACAGTTGCACAAATTCATCCCAACAATGAATGAGCCATGGTTTCCTCTCAATCTTCATGAAAACAGCTATTTGAATATATTTCCCAAAGACCAACTAGTCTATCTAACTCCACACTGCAGAGAAGAACTCAAAGAGTTTGATCATGACACAGTTTACATCATAGGAGGAATTGTAGATAAGGTATTGAATTTGTGAATATTTTTTTTTAATTGTTTCACAGGTGTTTCCCAAGGCTCCTTTTATATGGATTTTCTGAAGAAAATTTGATTCAAACATGAATGCTTTGGTATTCAGCCAATTCTGCAAATTTTCTACTATTGTCAATTTAGCCAAAACAAAACTGCTCCAGCAGGAGCACTCCAACTCTAAATACAAAATGTAAATATTTCCATTGAAACAATTGCTTGATGACATGATTATAATCCTTATATAAATAAATAAATATGGAATGGTGGGTTGAGAATACAATACTAAATTTTAATGATACTAGTTGGAGGTCTCCTTAGATGCCTGAAATCTGGTGATTTGTCTGTCTTTCTAAAGAGACCTATGAATTACATGTAAAACAATGAATATGTTTGAATTGATTAGTAGACCTATACATGTAGATTGCTTTTGCTTCTTGTTAGTTCCTATTATTCTTCAGTTATTCCATTAATTTTTTTAAATTAATTATTAAATCTATTATAAAAGTTACAATAAACTAAATCTATTGGTATCAATGTTCAAAGAGAAAATAAACAGCAAAGGGGTATGAGTGAGTATTCCAGTTCATGTAAATTTGATTGGAATCAAGTAGCCAGTTTGTCAAGTTTTTCTTGAAACTTGTATTTTTGATTTTCCCTCTCAATGCTAATGGCATATCCGGGCATATCATTATATATTTTCATGCATATATATGTGAATGTTCTTTGTCCTATTGATTTGTATGATGATGAGTTAGAAGATCTTCCCTTACCAAAATCGTTGAAATTATCAGATAACATCAGGATAAAAAGGAATAAAATAAAAATCTTCAGTTTCCATTAGTGATGAGAAATAGAATCCCTTTTATTATGGTGAACAAATAAAAATATGAAGTTACTGCCATTGATTTTGAGATAATTTTTTTGGCACCAGCTATACTAGTGTTCACATTGTGAGAATATTCTCAGAGAAGCACTGAGAAATTGATATTTTTACAACATGATTTCAATGTTGATTTTGACTATTGAATTTGTATTTATGACGTTTTTCAGAATGCTAGATTTTTTTTGTAAATGGAGGATTAATAATTCATTTATATTCTGTTTCATCAAACATATTTATAATGATAAGGTTTTTTCTTATACATTTGCTTCAGCCCAAGAGGATGGTCATTGAAGTCCAATATTCAGTATTCTGATATTTGGCCAAAAGTCTGCTTCCATGCACTTGGAAGTATTGTATTTTTGAAAGCTGAAAAAAAAAAGGAAAACAATTTAGTTAGTTAGTTAGTTAGTAGTTAGTTAATCTCAATAAACAACAAAATCTCCATACTGATAGGGTTTTGTGTGGCTAACACTATATACAGTGTGACATACTTAAGATGAAGACTCCCCTGTATTTTAGTCATGTTTGAAAGCAGAAATTTGATTTTTGGTACAGACTTAGGCCTTCTTGGGCCGCACTTTTAGCAATACTCAGCCGGGAGTTATTCAACAAAGTTGCTCAGAAATCGATTTTCACCCTACATACTGAATTTCAACACAAAATTTGAATTGTGAATTATTTTTGAGTCCGATTTTCAATTAATGGTTCTGAATAAAAAGCTACAGAAATGAAAAAACAGTCAGAATCAATGGAATAAACGATTGGAATAACTGAAATTGGAAATTATTGTTTTATCAAAAAAATGTAGGTTCATCGAATTTAGTCTCCTTCACTAGCCTATCTCCCAAAATTCAAAATTCGAATTTTACGTTGAAATTTGGTATGTAGGATCAAAATCGATTTCCAAGCAACTTTTTCAAATACCGTTTTTCGGTATCTCCAACGCGAAGCAAAATATCGAGAATTCGCCCTTTTCGCGGGATCACAGTAGGCTAGGTTAAAGACTGTTACTCAAATCTCTGCTTTAAAATATGACTGAAATACAGCGGTGTCATCATTTTAAGTGTGTCACAGTCTACAGGGTAACTCACGGTCGATGGTAGGTTAGACGTTTATGGAGAACGCGACGCAGGATTTCTCTGAAAATTTCGCATCTCACCTGTTCTATCGATCTAAAATATTTTCGCAAATGCGACGTTGTCGTTTCCATCAAAAAGTCCTAGCAACTCCATTTTTTAAATTGAACACCCCCTATATTAATACATTTTTAGAATTGCCTTTTCATTACAATACTGTTTTGTTGATGAATCCCTATACCTATATCTATCGGTTTTTGAGATAAAAAACAATTTGTGTTAAATATGATCCAAAACATATCCCTAATTGAACTAGAGTAGATCAGGGCTCTCAATTCACTAAGAGTTGATATTTTAGTGGTGGTTTGGACAGGCTTGATGTATTCAATTTACACCGAGAAATTGCCTCCATATCATACAGGGTGTGCTGAAATTATTATTATATCCGTTGTTCATACAAGAGGTCAAAAGTAAATTTTTTCAAATGGAACCCACTGTTTTTTACTCAATAGATTGAAGGACGGAGAAAACTGCTACAAGATAACATAGCATGTCCCTATACCTAAATCATCAAGTTTTCTTAATAAAGCCGCTTTTTGTGAAAAATATAATTTTATGAAGAAGTCAATTTTAGGTAGCCATGGAAATATCAAACTCATGACAGTTCGGTGACATTAATCCATCAATGAGTAATTCAGTAATTCCTATAGACAGTGTTTCAAAAAACTCCCAGAATGAACGCAAATATCGATTATTCAAAGGAACTTCTAATGAAGTTATTTATTATACAGGGACAATGTGATCAAATCATTGCCAGACCTTGCAGAAAATTCGACCAAATGTATGCTGAATTGACACCAATGAACGAGAGGAAGTTTGTAAGATTACAAAATAATGTTATCAACTATCAAAGTTAGAAGCGTCTCCAACATTACCAAAACCTGTTAATTCAAATGAATACAATATTGTTGACGTTTTGGCATATTTTCATGCATATCCAGGAGCATCCATTCTTAGTGCAGAAAAAGATTTGGGTGTATCAAAATTTATTAATATTCGGGGTGTTCCATTTTAAAATATAAAGTTGCTAGGACTAATAATAAAAATAATAATATTTATTCAATATATATGTAATATAATAACAATAAGTACCTATTTACAATTACAATAAGTATTACAAGAAGGTTTCAACAACAGTGAATAAATATTGATAACCTACTAAAAGTCTTAGGACTTGTTCGTAGATGCATGTGCATTCAAAACTTCGAATTGAAAGAGAGAATTCATAAATATAAGTGTATCTGCGTATAGTATAACAATTAATTAGGATATTGAAAGACAAGCAGTTCTCCTCTAAAAGAAGAACTTGTACGTGGAGACCGCTCATCCAACTAGATTCTCTAGGGTACCTACTCAAATTTAAAAGTTTGTTCTTATTGTTATAATGACTGAGAATAAAATCAATAATGAATTGATTAGAGATTAACTAAATTATGTATATATTCTCTAGGGTTTGTATGCAACCATGCTTTCAATTTGCTTTTGAAGAAATTCATTGGCCTTATTGACTTTAAATTCTCTGGTAAGTGATTATAAAACTTCGGGCTCAGATATGCAAGAGATCTTTGAAATATCGTTCTTTCAGCTTTTGGTACTGAAACTGAATTACATCGATATCTTTTCTTATATTGATGGGTAATCTCAAACAGTTCCGATTTGTGGCTATTTTGTCTAACTAAAACTGAATAGAAATATAGTTGTATATCCAACCAGATATTTGAATTTTGTTAATGAACTCCTCATTTTGTTAGTTACATACTGTGTTTGTTTATTCCATTTCAAGTGGCTGTCAATATATATACCCACATATTTGATATTTTCAGCTGATTGGATGTAGGTTGTTGATATATTATTTATTCTCACAGTAAATACATTATAATCTGGTAAATGGTTTGTATAGGAAGCGAATGGGACATGATGGGTTTTCTCAAAGTTAACAGCAAGTAGTTTGGATGCAAACCATTCGGCAATTTTCGTAAAATCTCGCTCAGCTTTACTTTTCAACGTAGTCCAGCTTTGCTCCTGGTACAGAATAACTGTTTCATTAGCAAAACCCATTATGTCACCTTTTGTATCCAAACTGAAGAGATTATTGATGTAGATATTAAAAAATATGGGACCCAATACCGTTCCTTGGGAACTCCATATTCTACTACTTCCTAATCGCTGTATACATCTCCGAATTTTACACGCTGATTCCGATTTGTGAGATAGTTATCCAATAGTCTCAGTGGAGTACCGCGAATGCCAATCTGCTCGAACGTTTGGAGAAGTAGTTTGTTGGAAACGGCAACGTCGCAATTTCGAAAATATTTTAGATCGATAGAACAGGTGATAAAATGTAAGAAGCGAAATTTTCAGAAAAATCCTGCGTTGCGTTCTCCATAAACGTCCAACCTACCATCGACCGTGAGTTACCCTTTATATTATCCCCCAGGTGAACAACGACCCATTGTCCTTAGCGAAAGCCAAACGCGAAGGCCTCAGGATGGCCAAGCTGCCGCTGGACAGGTACCTGCAATGGGGCTCTGGCTCGGGCAAAAGCCTCACGCTGAACCAAGTCGGGTCTATCCTATTGGACGTCAAGCGGTATGGTAATTGGGAGAAGGCCCTTCGTCACGTGCCAAGAAGAAAACTCGTGGATTTCGGGGCAGCAGGCGGTGTTAGGAAGCCCTGGGATAGGGATGGGGGCGCGAGGCAATGGAGACCGGCTGCTAATGTCGATTTTGGGAACTTGAGTTTTAATAATGGTGGTAGGAAGAACGATAATGACGCCAGGAGAACGGTGAATGTCAATATAAGAAGTCTTTATGAGGAGTGAAATGTACAATGTATTGTATTATTGAAAATCTCGTGATAAAATATATTAATTTTAAAGTATTAGTATGTCAGCAAAGATTGTTGCCTTATATGTTTGACACATTAAATCGAGTCTATAATACTTTAGAAATATCTAATCTCTGGTATTATTTTCAAGTGTTAGTTCATGATTATCACTCTAATGTATTGAAAATAACATGTTGAAAATAGTGATTGTTCCTTTCAACCTCTGGAAAATGGAATTGAAGCACTTCATTCAGATATTTCATCACATTTTTCGTGCTCTATCCACTCCAAATTTCACTAATGAGATATAATGAAATTAGAATAGATAAAGGATAAGTGTAATATTTTGGTATATAAATCTATTTCTAAAGGTACTAGAGTGATTCCAAAATGAAGCTTCTAGTGATTACATTGGCGATATACCTTTTAGGTATGTATTTCAAGAAATAATATTTATTTTACTTCCTAGTTTTTTGGAGATGTGAAACAAGTAATTATTAGGTAAAAAAAGTGCGCGAAATGCTACTTTGGTGATCGAGAACTGATTTTTGAACAAGGTGCAGCCGAGTTAAAAAAATATTCGAGATGAAAAATATAGTTCTGAAGTAGTAATATGCTTATCTTAATATAAAAAATATTGTTGAACTGGCTTGAAAGGCCTCTCCCTATTCTCCCTAGCTACGCACGATGTTCCACGAACATTATAGGAATTTCCTTTCGTGCGGCTCAAGAGATGAAGAAAAAATATTGTTAAAAATTCAGAAATGAATGATTTCCTGGATGTTTGCTGGTTTGAGGACCATAAAGTTAAAATATAAAAATCTCATATATTTTACATAACGATGCGCGAAGTAGGTACTTCGCGATTTGTTTTGTTCAAGGTATCATGGTAACGTAGGAAACTGAAAAAAGTGTCACTTTGCAATTTGTTATCAATGCGCGAACCTTGTCATTTTTTGACGTTTGTTGAAAAAATATAACGTGAGCATATAATAGCTCATATGGGAGTAGAATACTATACTTTGTCCACGACAACAATTGCCTTTGGTATATAAATTTATATCACAACTTATTTGACATCAAGGAAACTAAAAATTGAAGATACCTATTATATTAATTATTTGTCCACGACTGTTGTACTTCCTCAAGCAATACGACAGCCATTTTTCACACCAGTGAATAATAACGACAAATAACCATTTATCACTGGTCAAGACTTCCTAGGGTAAGCGATATTATGTTATATTGCTTACACTAGGATCTCTAGACCATAATGGTTTTTCACTGGTGTGAAAAACGGCTCTCTGAGGAAGCACATGTATAATGAATATTTTATAAGTACACAGTCGTGGATAAAGTGTATTTTCTGACTTGTAGGAAGTTCTCCAATGCCTCATGGGCAAAGTCCTACCACTTCACTCACTTGTTACATAATAATTGGGACTTTGAAACCCTCATTAACTTTTTTGTTCAACGAACTATGGAAAGAATGTTGAGGGGTTTCAATTATTACCACAAAAAAAGCAGTAGCTTCCAGAGGTCACGTGATATAAGACTCAAAATATTTTTTTCACATGAAACCCTCTAAAACATATAGGCCCGTATTTATAGTCGTTTCCTCAAGAACCCCTCAAGTCTTTCTTATCTGAGGACTCCTCAGCACTTGATGTGAAACTTGTTTTATAGACTTCCCTCGAGTAATCCTTCCTAAAGGAACTTTCACACTTGGCAACAGCGTATAATATTAATGTTGTGTGACCAGATCTGTTTTTAATGTTAAGTGTTTGTCAAAAAATGAAAAATGTCCAATTAGACGAGAAAGGTAAAATTTGAATTTTTCTCATTTTCTTTGAGCTACATTTGTTTATTCACATATAGGTACATATTGTTCACGAAATTGAAGTAATCGTAATCAGCGATAATAAATTAATTCAGTATTCAGTGATAAGAGACGAAAAAATAAAACGATATGAATAAAGTACCTACACTTTTGTTAAAAAAAAATAAGCTGGTAGATATTGAATTAGAGTTTGCCCGGAACATTTGCGAATAATTTATCAGAGGCAGCCGAACCCGTACATTTGCATCGGTGTGGTCAGAAAGCACCGATAGCGATAATAACATTTTCAATGTTGCCAAACGTTCCATAATAGTTCAAATATGGTATGGTCAAAACTAAATAATCCGTATCTCCCAAGTGATGATACATGTGAATCAGTGGCGGCTCGTGACTTTCATGACAGAGGAGGCTGAATGATATGAGATTTATTGTGAAAAACAACTATCTACGACTCACCCAAATCGATAGCTTTAATGACATTCTGTTTACCAGTTAACCTGAACTTAATACTTGAAGAGATGTGTTCCTGTGATTTGCAGTGTCTATCCAATCCGCAAATCCCAATTTGAACAAGTCACGGACATTTCGCTGCAAATAAGAGCGGGAGGAGATGTTTTTCGTACATCGCACGCGGATTTTAGTTGCAAAATTACTTCCATAGTACTTAACAGTTACTGCCCAGTGCTTGCTGGGGAGTAAATAAATAAAACAACCCACGCAAATCATTACAGCTGGACACGCGTCCAGCGTCGACCCGTCCCCCACCATCGTCCCCCGCCCCGGGGGCAAGAGCGGCGACGGCGTCACCACCAGGTACTGGGACTGCTGCAAGCCCTCCTGCGCATGGGCCGACCACACCACCTACACCAAGGGCGGCCACCCCGCCGCCTCCTGTCTGGCGGACGGCAACACTGTCGCCGATCCCAACATCCACTCGGGCTGCCGGGAGAACGGAGACGCTTATCTGTGCAACAATCAGCAGCCGATTTTTGTCAATTCTAGCTTGTACTATGGGTTCGCTGCTGCTTCTTTCACTGGTGGGGAGGATTACTCGTGGTGAGTGCATGGATCTCAGACTGATAAATAACAATAGGCACCGCGATTTAGTCATAAATCATTGAAAAGTATACGCTGACTATCCTAACCGCTAAACACAGATAAATGAATGAAATCGCGAATGGTGGGCATAACTCCTGCGGAATCATTCTTCATGGATATAAGTAGTTGAACGACTATCAGCATGGAGAAATACACGCTTTACTCTTAACTGGAACACGGCCTGTGTTCTATACCTCTTCATTTTCAATTTCGGAATCGGTAAGCTATATTTCGGGAAAAGTAATCTCGATTTCAGAATTGGTTAGTTCGATTTCAGAAATGGTAAACTCAATTTCAGAATCGGTGAGATGAATTTCAGAAAAATTCCATTCAATTTCAGAAATGGTAGGGACTCTAATGTATAGCAATGTCTCAAGTGCTTGTTGAGTACATCAATTTTTAGGTTAAATAGACGTTAAAAAGACAGAAATATAGCAATAATCAATGAAATAGTAGATGAATGACTAACTTCACAGCTTCATTTATACCACTGAGTGGAAATGTAAAAAACTAACCACATTGATAAATGTTGTTTTAACACGTTGATTGCCGGGCTCAAATTCACACCAGTGGTATCACATCCGAAGCAAAATTCAAAAATTTGTCCTAGAAACCATCAGTGACTCTATGTAGCTAAAGTCTACAGAAGATATTTTCAGCTCGGTCGCATAGATCGACTCGACACTCGTGTATATATGTATACCTTTGTACGCCGCGTCGGTCCGGCAGCTCGGTCCTGCCGACTTCGGCCTCGGTCTAGTGGTTTAGCGCTGTGCAAAATACTTATCTCAACTTATATTTGTTTTTTTTTTATTTTTTTTTTGTTGTTTCCCTCTATAAACATTCTATGTTTCTTGGGATCAATAAATGTTATTATTATTATTATTAACTTGCTTTTTGAATGTGTCACTTGTATTCCAATTGTTCTACACTTGTTGGGGGAGCCGCTCATTGTTCATTTGATGTTCGGTGGATGTGTAAGTGATATTCGTTCAGTTCAGAAAATGACCAGATTTCGAAATCATCAGAGACCGTATGAAAAACGTAGACCTTGCACCAAGTGTTACTAGAGAATAAAGGAAGAATCAGGATAGAGATCAGCCCCTAATTTGAATAGAATACGCACCTTCAGTGGAGTATGTCCTGAAGAACCTGCATTTTGCCTGGATTGTTACAACAAATTCCATAAGAAAATATAGATTACGTATTCTTGGGACACTAATATTCGGTTGTATTATCTGAAGAAATTATGTTACATTTCATCCACAGAATAAACGTTCATTTCACAGTATCGGCCTACCATGTGTTCATACTGATTTGCCTGCCACGTGACTCGGTCTGTGTGTCTGATGAAGATAATTTGCAATGCAAAAGTGTCACTGAAGCCGTCTCGGTCACTCTCCGCGATATTATTGACAATAATTCAGACCGACGGCTTCACGAGTCCTTCAAAAGACTCGGTCTCATAGGCCTAGTCGGCCTGGTCCTATAGACCGACATGGCAGTTAACGTGTTAATAGAATACCAAATATCAATAGTGGAGAATCTGGGGTGGTTAAAAAATTTCTTAATAACAACGTTACTAATTTAGCCACCCTGTTTAACCCTTCAGTACTAACATGTCGTCTGAGAGACTGAGCCTCCATAATTCTCCCCATATTATTGCGCAGCGCAATTCGATTCGGTTGGGCGGCTAGCTATCTGAAATTCAATCAGTTACGGACCAATTGTCTTAGTCGAATGTATGAAATAGCATTTTTGGTGGTAGAGGACCAAGCAGACTCCAGTGAGGAAGATTGTGTGGAAAAGCGTTCAGAAGCTTTCGAGTGGGATCAAGAGTTATTAGAAAATTTTGAGAAGAAGTTTGGGTTGGAAACAAACTTAGAACACTGCACATCAATACCATATTTTCAACCAAAATGGTAAAGACAATTTTGGTAACTCCGAAGAAGACTTAGTCTAATTGTTTATTGTCTTCATCATATTATTATGAATAATGAAAAAATAATGAAAAGAGTACTAACATTAGGCATTTTTATGAATGAAATCACTTTCCAAGTACGACATGACAAATAAAAATAGCATTGCTCGCATTTGGTTTCACAGACCGATTTTAGTACTAATGTTATTAAAATCATGTTAGTACTGGAGGGTTAAACTCTTCTTAGAGAATCATTTCTTATTTCTAACGATTTCAAGGTGCTGCACGTGCATGCTGCTCTCCTTCAAAGGCCAACTGGCCGGCAAGCAGTTCCTCGTCCAGGTGGTGAACACCGGCAGCCCGCTGGCTGTCAACCAGTTCGACCTGCAGATCCCAGGCGGCGGGGTCGGCCTGTACGCCGACGGATGCGCCAAGCAGTGGGACGCCGACCCGAACACCGGGTGGGGCGACAGAGTGATGGGGGTGAGCTCTATCGAGGGCTGCGAGGAGCTGCCGCAGGAGCTGCAGCCCGGCTGCCGGTTCCGGTTCGAGTTTCTCGAGGGGGTGGACAATCCGCCTGTTACTTTCTATCAGGTCGAGTGTCCGGCTGAAATAGTCGCGCTGACAGGATGCGAGTATTGATACTGTAGTTTATAAAGATTATATCTAATAGAGATGGTAATTTGTGTTTTTTTTAATTCATCGGTCCAGCTGCAGCCCGGTTCGCCAATATACCCAAGTCACTTTCTATCAGATCGAGTGTTTTCTTTTGTACAACTCAGAATATATAAAGTAAAACAAAGTGGAAACCTTCAAGAGAAGGGCTTCCTCAGTGCTCGTAGTTTCAGTATAACGGGTATATTTTTAAAGAATTCCCCCGTGACAACAAATTGTATTATGCACGATTTAATTGAAAATACTCAACATACATAATGCTTAGAAGCGAAAACCTCGTGTGTCGATACACTCCCTTCGTAAAAGTACATGTCTTCAGTCGTCACATTATATCAGCTTACGGCCACCATTAAATTCCTCAAATACTGTACATACATAACGCTAAGAAGCGAAAACCTCGTGTGTCGATACACTCCCTTCGTAAAGGTACATGTCGTCAGTCGTCACATTATATCAGCTTACGACCATTCAATTCCTCAATTATAATAATTATAAAATAGGCTCAAGCTAAAAATAATGTCAAATGATGGTCAGATGTCAACAGATGTGCAAGAAACTTTAGACAAATAGTTCGAGTTTCTCGAGGGGGTGGACAATCCGCAGGTTACTTTCTATCAAGTCGAGTGTCCGACTGAGATCGTCGGGTTGACAGGGTGCGAGTACTGATACTGTAGTTTATAACTATGAAATTGATGAAGATTATATCAAATAGATGGTAATTTGTGTTTTTTTATCCAATTCATTGTCGCAGTAGCTCTAGTGCAACTATTGATACTGTATTTTATAACTACGAAATCGATTGATGTTAAATCAAATAATAGTGTCAAGAAGTACAAATGCCTATGAATTAACATCAGTCAAACTATATTTCATTTCAAGATCTTTCATCATAAATTAACTTTTCCAAATTAAAACATCCAGTACATTGTAGTTTCGATCAGGTCAGCGGAGTTCATAGACGTCAGTTCCTTTAAAATTTACAAAAAATGCTTACCGTGCGATAATACCTGGGTAAGCAATATCGAAAGGTAACGGTCATTCGCCGTCTTCCCGACTTCAATCCTGCTGGTCAATCCCATGCTAGACGTTGTAATGTAAGAACTGTTTTTTTCCAAGTGTTGTTTTGCGTTATGTTTCATTTGGTAAGCCATTATGTTCTTTTTTCTTTGCTAACCGGCCATGTGGCTAACATTTATTCACGATTTTTCCATTTAATCAATAAATGTCAAAATTTTATATGAAAACTGTCTTGACTCTTTATTTGGAAATGAATGTGGTTGGGTGGTGAAATGATCAAAACCTCTCGTCAAAAAGCCAGGCGAGTAGGTGTCAATATCTGAGTTGCGACAATGAAGATGGTAATTTATGTTTTTTTTTTAATTCATCGTCGTATTAATATTCGCCCCAAAAACAAGCATGATGCTATGAATCCAAACATGTATGGTCAACTCAATTTGACTCTACCTGAGGATGTTTAACTACGTATAACGTTTCTCCATATAGCGGCAAATGTTTGGAAGTCTTCTGCACTAGGAAGTATTTTTAACAACTGATAACCACCAATATTTCAGAATATTCTGATGCCTACCTTTTATCCCTATCCCATCCCGAGTACGCACAACGTGAAAACATTCAAGAGAGGCAACCTTCAATATTTGTCCTTTCTCAGTGCTCCTAGTTTCAGTAAAATATTTCTTGCTCTCTCTCTAGGAACACATCCATTTAAAAACACTGCATTTTTATTCAATTACGCAGTATTTAATCGAAAATAATGTCCATAAACAACGCTTAAAGGGAAAACCCTCGTGTGTTGATACACTCCCCTCGTAAGGGTACTTACCGCGATTTCTTTCACAATATGCTACTAATCTTTCGACAATTGGACTAATGAGATATTCAACGAATGAATAAGAGCTGCTAGGGAATTTTCATCATTTGAGGAGTGAAATATCAGTAAACTATGATACCTACAGTTATTCCGCAATAGAAGAAATGAAACTTTGAATTTGAAGATATTAGACCTGCGAAGCAACGCTGGCTAAAATCTATTCTGCAACAATGGCTATGCACAATGTGCACCTTAAGATAATATAATCAGGATTAAAATAAATATAACCATCCATTATAATATTGTACAAAAGTTCTAGTCCTAATACCTACATAGAAATTAATTTCTTCTGCGCCTGACCCTGGATATTCTCCAAGCATTCGGTTCTTCGTACTTGTTGTACAGCGGTTCCAGTCGTTGGTTTTTCTTGAATTTGCTCAATTTGGTCGGATCAGAGAATTTGAAGAAGGCAGGCGCGAATTCGACCAACCATTTCGGGTCTATCGTCGTCACCTCTCGCATGTATTCTTTCGTGGTTTGGACGAGCTCATGGTAAATCACCCTTAAAATTAAAGAAAAACAATTGAGATTTCACTGGTTGAAAAAATTAAGTCTGATAATTCGGTGCAAAGAAATATGTTCCCCAATATTTGTCTTCTCAAACATCAGCTCTTTTAATTCAACAGTTTTCATTGCATTTTTGAAATGTATGAACTATATATTACATCTTAGCTAGTTACAGAGCCGTAAATTTCATGTTTCTATCCATCTATCTCAGGAAGTTATACAGCTATCAACTCCATATTTCTATTAGTGTTAGTTCATAGTTCATGAAATGAACAAAAATTACTCTGACCTATAAGATTCAAGTAAATGACTTCTGATTCGATGCAAAGGTCCACTTGGAAATGAATAGTTGTAGTGATAAAAAAAAATATGATTTTATACAGTGTCATTCATAAAGCATCATATGGGAAAAACTTTTAATAATGATGTATTTCGAAGTTCGACTTGATAGTTCTGTACTGGACATGAAGTTGCTTCCAACAAATTTTCAATCTCAGTGCTCATAGTTTCAATAAAATATATCTTGTCTTAAAGTTACACCTCCATTTGAAAACACTGTGTTTTTTTCGATTACGCAGTATTAATTCGAAAATACTGTCATAAACAACGCTTAAAGGAGAAAACCTCGTGTGTTGATACACTCCCCTCGTAAGGGTGCATACCGCGATTATGATACCTACAGTTACTCCGCAAATGTATGAACTATATATTACATCTTAGCTAGTTACAGAGCCGTAAATTTCATGTTTCTATCCATCTATCTCAGGAAGTTATACAGCTATCAACTCCATATTTCTATTAGTGTTAGTTCATAGTTCATGAAATGAACAAAAATTACTCTGACCTATAAGATTCAAGTAAATGACTTCTGATTCGATTCGAAGGACCACTTGGAAATGAATAGTAGTAGTGATAAAAAAAATTATGATTTTATACAGTGTCATTCATAAAGCATCATATGGGAAAAACTTTTAATAATGATGTATTTCGAAGTACTGTACTGGACATGAAGTTGCTTCCAACAAATTTTCGAGACTGTCGACTTACCACTCAGGTTGCCTGTTGAAGAGAGCGCTGGAGGGGTGTATATAAACCACCTGGCTGTCCACCAGGGTCCTGTAGCCCTCTTGGGGATCCTTCTTGCCGGCATTCCTGAAAAAGCCCGAGCAAATGGCCTTCTGCACTCTGACGGTGTTCCTGTCTGCGGACACCACGTCCAATTTGTGCCGGTCCATGATGCCCAACAACTGTTTCCGCACATCCTGGGCCCTCTTCAGGGTTCTACAGCAGAAAACAAATGAAGATTTAAAAAAAATAATGGCGCTATCGAGATGGATCAAATCAAATCAAAATTCATGAGCCAATTTTCCTCGAAGTTAACCACACAAACTGGGTCAACAATAAGTTAACCAGTCAATTTCCCTCGAAGTGTATTCCAAACCATGACGTAATAGTTAACCAACCACAATAACCAGCTCAGTGAGGTAGTTCACGGAGTAGTTAAGGCTTTTGATTGGGCACTGGATTGGGCTCTTATGATTGTTATAATCTAAGGTTATATAATTGAAAAGAAAAAATAATTATACTTCTAGAAGAGATGATTATGGATTCATATGAAGTATTTTTGAATGATATATCTCATCATATTATTGACGAAAATAAATATTTGATTTATTGTAAATATGAACGTACCGAATTGTTCAAATGTTCTCGAATTTGAAGAAGGTATGAGTACCTAGTTCCTATCTATGATATATTTTTGATACAGATAATGAATTTCCTATTCAATATTAGTATTAATACTAAAACCAAACAATAAACAAAAACAGCTGATAGTGACATCTGTCAAGCTTCACAAGTAAATCGTGACGTCATCATAAAGTTAACCTGGTTTGTCTGGTTAGGATCGAGAAAAAATGACTGTCCAGATATTGCTTCTATCATATATATAGGGTGCACGTGATTCGAGCTGAAGCATATGAGAATCTCGGTTATCTTGAGATATACGATGTTGCTCAAATTATGGAAAAGTTGTATATTCTGGTGCTGATGAATAATCTGATCTAAACTGACCTATCTTCCTCAGTTTTCAAGTTATCGCCGAAAAACTCGATTTTGGTATTTTCGTTCTTATAATTTTTCAAGGGAAAACATATCAAGTTATCCATTTATAACCGGAATATTCTCAAAGCAGTATCTTGAGACTTGAAAGGAATCCGAACGAAACAAACGAAAGTCAACAGTACATTTTCGGAATCAGAAAAAAACTGAATATGGCGTCCATAAAAATAAGTTTACTGTCAGGTCATTTCTTGCGTCGTGTGTTAGAAAAATATGTGATATCATTTCTGAATTCCTCGCAAAATACTGATTTGAACAATTATCTTGCAATTGTTGTATATATCCCTATTATAAACAATAATGTTTCTTGAGGTAATAAAGACAATCAATCAACCAATCAATTAGCTCAATGAGGAAGTTTCCCTGGAATGAATTATCATAAAATTATTATTCAACTACCTAGTATTGGGTTTCTGGGTTATTATTCGAAATACAGCAATTTAGAATTATTAATAAAACAGACTACGATGTACTACTTAGATCTAGTGATATTTGGGGATACTTGTCTATCATAAGTTTCTTGACTTATTCCCTTCAGACCTCAGTACTCGAAAATAAGAATAAGAAGAGAGCTTTCAGTATGGACTAACCTCAAACCTTCAACAAAAATGTAAACAAAATACATCTTGAGGTTCACAACCACTGTTGCAAGACTCAAGTTATCAATTTCTTAGAGAAATTGAAATATCTCTTCAAACTTTCAACAGAAATTCAAATTAGGATGATCAACTCCAGAAACGAGCTGTCAGCATCATCGTTATTTTGAATGTACCTATAATTTTATAATCGTCAATTTGATTGATATTCTAATATTCATGTTTAGTCTATAACTCCCATTTCATCAGGCATACTATTTGTTAAATACATCATTTCAGGTACAATTTCCCCAATCTTTGAATTTATAGATAAATCTTGAAACGCTGTACTGGCATAAAACGGCACGCATTTTTATCTGTGCGTAGATGGCTTTTCTAAGTAGTACGTCATGAAAATGGTGGAGGAGCCGAAACTATATCTTCACTATTTTTTTAGCTCAAATTTGATCACACTACAAAAATAAAAAATATGAATTGTCATAAACTATACAGAGGAATGAAAATTTGAATGTTGCAAATTAACACATTGACAGAAAAATTTCCAATATTGACCTTGTTATTTCACTGTGAAGTTTGTTAAATATTTTTCGTGAAATCAACTTTCACTTCCCACAGAGACGAATTACAATTCCCTTTGACAATACGACGCTGCCGGCCTGTTGTCTAGAATTTTGGAAATTCTTTTTTGAATAATAGTTTTTTTAAATCATACTTTGCTGAGTATTATGTATAGTTTTTTCAAAAAATCTCTCAGTTGCTAGCTGAAGTTGATTACTGAAAACGGATCTATTTTCTAGGGAAGTTGCGGATTATATCTTGCAACAGCACATAATACTTAGAGCTTGTCCACACCACACAAAATACTAACAGGCACACCGACAGCTGATCTGATATTGTGGTTATGTATGTTTTTGTTTACCAGTTTTACTTGTGACGATTTTTTATCTCCAGTTATTCGTTATCCTATGTCTACACATACAGAGAAGTGCACAAAAAACGGCCAGTCAGGATCTTCTGAATCATTCTAGATAGGACTCCGAAAATTGGTGGGTAGCAAGTATACCAAATTGTTCATCAATTGACAAAACAATTCTTGTTCAATCACTTCCGGTCTTACCAGAAACGACCCTAACTTTCAATTTTTCAATGGGACACCCTGTATTTAATTTCATAATCGGTTAGGGATTATTATCACGAATTCAACGATACCGGGTTTGATAGGGTTAATTCGAACGACTACGAAGATATTCGCGTTCTAAGTTTCCATTTGCTCAATAAGTAAGACAGAGAAAGAAGATTCGATATTGCGAAGTCACACCCGTTGAGCATATGGAAACTTAGAACGCGAATATTTTCGTAATCGTTTGGAATAACCCTATTAAATCCGGTATTGCTAAATTCGTTATGATAATCTCCAACCGATTAAGGAATAAAATATAGGGTGTCCTTATCCAAAATCAAAAGGTAAGGTCGTTTCCGGTGAAACCGGGAGTGATAAAACAAACATTGGTTTCTCAATTAATGAACAATTTGGTATACTTGCTACCCACCAATTTTCAAACTCCGACCTCAAATGATTCAGAAGTTACAGCACTGGCCGTTTATTGTGCACTTCTCTGTATAGTTGTTTTGTTAGTTAGGTGATCATCGCTATTTTTTATGATATAAACATCAACAACGACACCAGATTGTTTTCTTCTATTTTTCAATAGTATTTATTCCTTAGCTAGTCACTAGCTACATTCTTTATCAGCTATATTCAGACTAGATTCATGCCATGAAAATTGGAAATTACTTTATTTAGAAAATAAAAACGACTTGGACTTCCTCGATCGCAATTCTGCACAGTGTGGAAACTTCCCAATTACGAAAGTATAAAAACAAAAGGACAACGCCCAAAGTGAAATACCTGATCTGGACGAAATTCTCGTAGCACCAGGCGTTCGAGAACTTGTTGTTCTTCCAGCTGTTGTAGACGGCGAGCAGCGTGAGATGATCGCCCTCGGGCTGGTTGAACTTGGCCTTCTTCTGGTCGGCCAGCGCCTGCTTGTCCTTGGGCCGGTAGAAGACGTTCTGCACCGAGAGCATGCTGACCACGGTGAGGATCTCGTCGGAGCACTGCAGCGCCACGGACATGATCAGCATCTTGGAGAGGTTCGGCTCGAGAGGGAACTCCGCCATCTGGAAGGTCACGAGTTTGATGTCATTGTGTGTTCTGTACGAATCACTGATGAATTAATGATAGTAAAAGGACCTGTTCCGTTTCATGCAGCGAGCGCAGCAAGCGCATGATTAGTGTCCCGTTTCATGTTTTTCCGTGCAAGCCTAGTGCATGACTCCGCCCACTTCCGGTGCATTACCTACTGCTCGATCAATGACAGCTAAATGGACTGTCTGACGGGTTATACATGACTGTTCATTCAGCGAAAATCGCCAAATCGCCCTGTAATGAAATTTTGATGGGACGGCAAGTGGCGTCATCTATTTCCTGTGTCAAATGAGCTATTCAACATAACCTGCATTCATGATCCTGCATTATTTGTTGACAAATTTTCTTACTGTCAGCCTGTCACTCATTATTGTCACTCGAGATTGGAGAGCTTTGTTCGAGATACCAAGTAAAACTGTGAAAAGGCCAACAAAATGAAGTGGTTAGGAGTGTTCATGCCAAATAACGGTATTATATGCATAAATAATAATGCCATTCAAGTGGAAATCATCTTCGTCAATTCGTGAATAGGTAAGGACATGTTCAATTATTTCATTGATTGAATTTTTAACTGCCTAATAAGAGCCATGGTAGCCCTAATAACCAGATACTGCTGTATTCTCAAAGTGGAATGTACTGCAACATTTCATATTGTTTCACAAATTCTGTGATCTCAAGTGATATTTCTCAATTTGTATTTTCAGGTAGATACTGAATTTTCTCAACACAATGTTGAAGCAGCTGTTCATGAGGTTTGATTGAATCACGGATTGAATGATGACTGGAGACATTCTGATGATGCTATCTATGCATAACCAGAATATTTACTATATAAGGTGAGCTTTGTGAACAATTGTTTAATTAGGGGAGGGTTCAGAAAAATAATCAGGCATTTTAACTACAATATCAAGTATCTCCATGAATAGCAAATTAAATATCATTTTATACTTATATATTTCATATCAGATATACAGATAAATTGTATTGCAAAATTGATAGAACTATGCCAGCTTCAAAATCATTTCTTTATAGGTTCTGGGGATGGCAACACAATGAATATAAAACGGCTTGGATATGGGATCTTGACTTTGGAGGATGAAGCTAGGTAACCTGGAGATCCTTTGGACACTGGAAATAAAAGAGGAAGATGATATATCATTGTGTATCCCACAATTTCTATTATCTGTTCAGAAATCAGCAGAGAAGAAGCATGTTTTGAGTTCAAATATAATAAGCTATAATCATCAGCTAATTTAATGGAAAAGGAAATTGTTAATTATGGTGACTGTCTATGGAATGAAATTATTATATTTCTTGAATAAATGCTTTCTATACATATCATCTATATCTATCAATCCATATTTGTCAACCATTTTCAAAACTTTGTGGAGACAGAAATAGTTATATGCATTTCAAAAGTTGAGTTTGCACTCTTTTCATCTTTTTAGATCTACTTGGGGAAGCTATAGTTAGTGGGCTAGACATTTCACCTTAGTTCACATACCATCTCATACTTCTATCAAGAAAACAAGAAAGCTATACAGAATCTCATTGATAGATGGGCATACATAATACATAAGCTTAGGCCAAATAATTAATTTAATTTTTTTGTGACAAAATCATCACAGCAGTGAAAAACATTTTTGAAAATCTCTGATAGTATCATTATTCTGTTATATTTGCCAGGAAGCAGGAACACAAAATACCTCAAATTGTAGTTGTGGCACTCGAAAAAACTCCAGATGTTGGCCTAGACTGATGATTCCCTGGGATTCAAAGAGCATACCTTAAATTCCATTCCTCTTTCATTCTTGGTGTTGCTTTTTGGGATGCCCATCCTGTAGGTATATGGTAATTTAAGTTTGAATACGTTGCATTGATGGCTTGAAGCACATGAAACATTTTTCAACAATACTACTCCTACCCTACCTAGCTATGCAACAACAATGCAGACTAAACATACCTTGAAAATTATGGTAAGCGATCCTTTCTGAATGTATGTCCCCATCCTGATAAGTCGCCATATGTAGTGCTATATTGATCATCACTCTATAGTGTCTTCCAAAATCATTGACACAAACTTCAACATCAGAATTGACACCAGTGTTATAATGGTGGAATCGAGGCTGAAATTGAAAATCATCAGAAAAGTGTACATGAAAAATCATATTCTTACCAATGCCTTCCAAAATAAAATTCGACCATTCTTGCTGTGGAGTTTATCACTGGGTATGAGATTCGAAAAAGCAAACCCCATATTTGATACGATTATTCATACATTTCATTTCATATGCTAGAAGGCTGTAAATACATGATGAAGACACACAGAACTAAACACAAAGAAGAATGCTTGATTGAATGAAAATCCGAAAAAGTAAAGGAATTTATCGATATTCAACAGAACACATCAGGGACCTGACAGTGACACAGTTTTGACACTTGTAAATAATAATAATAATTCAATATAACCACGATATAACCTATGTTATTGGAAAACAACCGAATAAAAGCTAAACAAATGACTTCTCCGCAAAGGACGGCAAGTAAACCCCTCTGGTGGAGAATACACTGAACTGAGTGATTGGACAGTCATGTAGTACTCGTCAGACAGTCCATTTAGCCGTCATTGGCTCGATAAACCAGAGGCAGGGAATGCGAATGCGCTGATAGTTAGGGTCCCTTGATGTAAATTGACGTATTTGTCATCTCAACAGGGAACGGATAGATCCTCGTCTCCTCTCACTCTAAAGTGTTTATGAAACACTAATATAGTTCCATCTTCATTCATTTCTGGGGATGAACAATAGATTTCCGACATTTGTTGTTTTTTAGGTTATATTGAGATAATTGGCGTATCATACGTAATTTCCACATGTAATTTCTCATTCAACTCTACATAATTATATCCAAATGATGATGATAATTCTCGAGTTTTTGATTTTTCAACTCCAGCATAATCTTTGTGAGACAGTGAGAAAATGGGACTGTTCTGTGGCAGCACCTATCAATAAATCAATTATGATTTCAGACTAAGCCTAATGGTTGAGAAATGGTGAAAAATTTTATGTAGGTATGTAAACGAATGTGCTCATATGTCATGTGTGCTGTATATATTCGTGTTGGGAATCATTTTTGCAGTTTTTCACGAACACTTAATATTTCCTGAATGTAGGTATAATTTTTTAAATGGCAGGGCATATGCCTCTTCTTATAATCCTCCGTTTTAATCAAAACTGATTCTACTAAAATGCATTCAAAAACTTGAGGAGTGGATAATTATAGGCACAATAAGAAAGTATAATATGTGATTTCGTATTTGTTTTACCTCAAATATTTTGCTGATGTATTCACCAATTGTCACTTCACTTTCTATGTTCTGAGTTCATTTGCATTTGATGGAAAGCTAACAAATTCAAATTTGCCATCCAACTGATTGATGCAGACTAACGCAGCCCATTTTACCATCCTTCCAAAACAGAATTGAATAATGTCGTATTAAGATCAAGTATGAAATTAAAATTTTGTACGATCTCTTTTAACGCCTGACAGCAATGCCATGTCAAGGACGCCAATACACGAAACCAAAGTCACTAGATGATTGAAAGAGAAAGGAGTTATGATCTGTCCATACCCTGTTAGATGACAAATACGTCAGTTTGCATCAAGGGACCCTAGTAATAGTAACCAACGCAGGTGATCCATAACTTGCAGTGGAGGTGATATAAATGATGAAAACCGTTTAATATTGACCAGAGGTCATGGACAAATGGACATGTTTCAAAGGATTAATCCTTCATCATCAGCAAAATTTAGTTTGAAAGAAGATCTGTTAGAAGAAAACAATGCTTTTGATGGTTTCAAATATTGTTAAAGTGTATATCAATTCTAGCACCAACATTATTTCTACTCCATATCAACCATTTGTTGGAAGCTACTTCATGTCTAGTACACAGCTTCGCGGATGATAGTACCCTCCATACCGCCTTCTCTTCCAGGGCTCCAATTCCAGATGGGCAAATCAGAAACGAACGAGGGATAAATGTTGACAACATAAATATGGACTTGGCAACAATTCTCGAATGGGGATCCAATAACTTGGTAGATTTCAATGCAAACAAAACAAAAGCATGCCTTTTCTCTAGAAAAGCCGATCTCACTGTGCCCAACCTAAGCTTGTCAGGATTAACCATAGCTTTGAAGACATCCATTTCGATGCATGGTATTACTATCATCAATAACCTTTTTTGGGAAAATCACGTGAGATCAATCGCTAAAAGTGCATCCCAAAAACTTGGTTTTCTGTTTCGGGCCAGGAGCTATTTCACTTGCAGTCAGCTGCTTATGATCTATAAGGCACAGATCCGACCTGTCCTGGAATACTGTGCTCATATTTGGAGTGCAGCACCCAAGCATACCCTGAAACTGTTGGATTCTGTCCAAAAAAGAGCAATTCGTCTCGTGGGTGATGGAACAACGTAGAAACGTTGGCGATATGGCAATATTTTATAGATATTTTCATGGACGATGCTCTGAAATATTAACAATTGTGCCTCCCTTGGCAGTCCCCGCGAGATTAACCCGTCGAGTTGAGGTTTTGCACCACTTCGTGGTTGGTCACTTTGGAGACCTGCAGAACATCTCTTACCAAAAACTCGTTCATCCAACGGACAACGAGGCACTGGAGCACATTGGCAAGGAAGGTGTTCCCCGATAAAGGATTTCAACCACCTCGATGAAAAAAAAACTACAGAAGAAAAAAAAAACTTACCCGTCTGCCCAGCCTGGTGAGCAGCCCCTCGTCGTCCAACGCCGACAGCGAGTGCAGCTGCTCCAGCGCCATGATCAGCGACTCGACGGGCGGAGCGTCCATGAAGTCGAAGTGCAGCAGATCGTTGATGCCCATCGTCTTCAGCTGCAGCACGGTGGTGGCCAGATTGGTGCGCTGGATCTCCGGCACCGGCGTGGGCAGCATCTCGTCCCTGTAGGCCCGCTCGGTGTACAGGCGGTAGCATTTTCCGGGGCCCGTGCGGCCCGCCCTGCCCGCCCGCTGTTTAGCCTGCGCCTAAGCACGAGAATGTCGTCAGGGATAATAATAATAATATAACACAAAGAGAGAAACTCAAAGTCATTACCACATTAGTTCATAAAATGAACGAAAATGGTAGATTACGAGAGAAAAACAACTAGTTTCCTGGCTATATGCCACGCAGAAAATTGGATTACAACCTCCCGAAATCTATGCAATATTTCGTATAGACGAATAAAATCGCAAGTGTTTCCTTCCTAAACGCCGATCTGCGCTTGAGTTCATTCAAAAACGTTTACAAAATATACATTGAATCAACTGGGAAAAACCTTACGAATTGAACCTTGTAGTAAGGATAAAAAAAACAAATGTATCGGGTGTACCACTAAGACAGGACGCCGGCTGTATCTCGGAAACTATTTGCCGCACAGGTTTCGGAAAAAAATATTCATGATAAAAGTGGCCAAGAAAAATCTCTGGAAATTATTTTCACGTTTCCAGGACAAGCGCTAGAAGGCGTAATTGCATTGGCCAATTAAAAAATAGGGTTTTCAAAAACACTTTTTTCATATTCTGGAGTTGGTTTCCAATCATTTCGATCAAAAAAAATTGCGCTAGCTTCTTAAATAAAAGAGTGAGGAAAGGATGAATAGTAGGTACTTTGGAAAAACTCTCACTACTACAGTTTGGTGTAACGAAATTCAATGATCTTGGTCTCATTATGAAGGGTTTTTTTCAGATCTTGCAGATAAATCACGAATCTAGTCGATTTAAATCCCGTGGTGGCCGCTAGATGGCATCGTTTGAAAAATCAGCCGATTTGTCATTTTTTTCCGAGAATTTCAAATGGAACCATATATTTTTTCTGCTATAATATGAAAGTAAAGTAAACGAGAAGAAAAATGGTGAAAACCGCGAGTTGATACCTCTCGAAGAACCGGAGAAATACTTGGAATAATATTATTAAAATTTAAACTGCTAGCATGTCAAATGCCTCCTCATTCGATATCGGCATTTTGACAAAAAAGCAATCCATAATGAACAGTGAAAACTTCCAATAGAACTTCAATTATATTTTGACGTTTCTTTCATTCAAAGCCAACTTAGTTGCCTTTTATCATTCCTGAGCCTACTCACTACTTACATTTCAATTAGCTATGTCATTACTAGGAGTCTCCTTCACTATTGGGAGATATAACTTCATAGATACAGAATATGTCTGATTACGATTATTGAAGTTAGATTCCTGTGGTGAATATTTTCATAATACTATTTCGAGTATTTCACCGGTTCCTCAAGAGGTATCAATTCGCGGTTTTCACCGTTCTTCTTCTCGTTTGCTCTACTTCCATATTAGAGTGGAATATTACATGGTTCCATTTGAAATTCTCGAAAAAAATTAAAAATTGTCTGATTTTTCAAAAGATGCCATCTAGCGGCCACCACAGGATTTAAATCGACTTGATTTGTGATTCATCTGGAAGAACTAAAAAACCCCTACATAATGAGACCAAGATCGTTGAATTTCGTTACACCAAACTGTAGTAATGAGAGTTTTTTCAAAGTACTATTCATCCTTCCTTCCCTCTTTTATTTAAAGAGCTAGCGCAAGTTTTTTTGATCAAAATGATTGGAAATCAAGTCGAGAACATGAAAAAAGTGTTTTTGATATGTCTTGATATATCAAATTTTTATAAAAACCAGTTCATTAAACTGGCCAATGCAATTACGCGGCTGTCCTGGAAACTTGAAAATAATATCCAGAGATTTCTCTTGGCCCATTTCATCATTCATATTTTTTTTCGAAACTTGTGCGGCAAATAGTTTAGTGGTACACCCGGTACATAGGACAATAAATATTTAACAATATTGAATTATCACAAAGGAAAAATTGTCGACATGTATTTAATTCATATACAGGGTGATCCACCGGGGATGACCTATTAGAAGTATCTGGAGAACGAAAAGACAGAACATTCTGAAAATTGGGGTGCTTTGATAATTGAACATTCTCAATCCGTCTAAAATATTTTCATTTCAGGCAGAAACAAACTGAAACACAATGTATATGGAGCATAGCTGTTTTGCGAGTGGTACCAACATCTGTCTCTACCACAGGTCTCTACCAATAATTGTTAACGTAGGGAAGATAACGTGAAACCTAATATTTGAATTATTCATTTTTGAATAGTTTTTAGTGTTTTCGTGTAAACTTTAGTTTGAAGTTATGCGTTTTATATGGATTCCATGAGGTAATCAATTCATTGTATCAATTCTAGTTCATTGTTAGTATCAAGTGTTTGTAGTAGGAGTCTCGAATTGTTCAGTGGTTTCCTTTGAGCGTTCTTATTTATTTCATGTTAATTTCCCTGAATCATGTCTGGTGACGAAAAATGTAGTTTCCGGAGGAAAGGACCCTACCAGAGAACTGTCTTCTTTTTGAATACATTTTCTTATCTATATTCAACCATTTTATTTCACCATAACTCTAGGCAAAGAATACATTGACTCCATAATAGATATATTCCTCGGAATACATCAAAATAAATTGACACCACCCACAATTCAATCATAAATTAAGAAAAAATATAACTTTGTAGAATCATGGGCAGATAATCGAGGACATGCTATATATACATTCAAGAAAAGACACGTTGATAGATATACATCGATTTTGTAAGAATAAAAGAAATGTATCAATTCAAGAGAAAAAAAAAGTTTGTATAGATAAGCATACAAACTATCTATCTTTCGTTTTTCTAAATAGAACTTGTATTTTCATTTGTATACAATATTTTTACCTGCGAAATCGGTGTAACGACCAAAGAATCCATGCCAGTCTTGGAATTGTAAACTTTCTGCTTCACGAATCCCGGATCTACGACATAGTATATACCATCTATGGTGAGCGAAGTCTCTGCTATGTTAGTGGCAATTACAACTTTCCTGCTACCAGGAGGAGCAGGCTCGAATATCCTTGTTTGCATTTCGGAGGGCAATGCCGAGTAGACAGGCAAAATAATCAGCTCGGGAACATCAGGACCTATGAAAAAAAATTGTTTACGAGGTATTCAGAAGAACCAATTGAATCTGTCATTCACCAATGATTAATTATTCTTTCAGCAATGAAAATGTGCTGAGATTTCGCAAATTCGTACTTCAGAATATAATTATATCATTTTTTGGTCCTTAAAGAATACTCTGGGTAGATAAAAATGAAGATATAAAACATGGCAACACTTCATTATTGTATGAGTAGGACCATAATATCGATTTTCGCCAGTAATTCAAGTAATATTCGAGGAGTGAGAAACCAAGTTGAACTAAAACAAATTTGCTTGGAGTTTCTACTAACCTAAAGACTTCATTCTTTCATATAGTATTTCACAAGCAGTATCAATCTCCTCTTGACCTGTTAAAAAAAGCAGTATGTCACCAGGGGGCTCTCTTAGATGAATCTGCATCACGGTAATAAGACTAGCATCCAAATAGTCAGTCTCGGGCTCCTTCGTATATAATACCTAGAAAAAGATCATTACTAAAGTGTGTGGAAAAATAAACTATATACAGGGTGTCACGTAAACCATGGCTTTCGATATAATGGAACTTTTATAGGAAACATTGAATTCCTATCTTAGATCATTCTTTCATGTTCAAAGCAAATAACGAGCGTTTTATGTTAATTCCTATTTTCAATAAATCGCACTGAATAAAAGCTGCAGTAAGTAGACTTTTGATAGAAATCAATCACGGTCTAAAAAAAAATCTTCCGATTTGTATCCTTAATGATTTCTATTATGGAACTGAAAGTTTTTTCTTGTAGACTGAAAATAACTGCGATATTGATCCTGCTTTCTGCGATTCTCACAACTATTATTCAGTAATATTCATGAAAATAAGGATCCCTAATTGCTTGGAATATGAAATGATTATTTTACTTATTCATTTATTGACGGGCGAACCCAGTGTAAAAAAAAGTTTTTTATTATACAAGGGAAAAAAACAGTAGATTTTAAAACCGTGAGCTAAAATCTAATATTTTTCCCGTGTATAATACACTATTTTTTTCTGTGACAGAAGAAAGGATGAATCAATATTGAGGGACACCTGCGATGTAAGCATCTTTATCATTCTTCTGAAGTAATCAAATATCTGATGTCACTTCTGTCAGTCTAATTCTATGATATGATTTCAAAAAATTGCGAATTTAGTGGTTGTTTAGTAATATACGTAACCGCGAAGTCGAATGAAAGATAAAAGGACTTGCAGTTCTTTCTGGGAGACGGTATTATTGACTCATTTTTCGGAACTATAGCACAACAAAAGCCATCAACAGTGTATATTTATGTGATATATATCCGGGAAAAAAGTACTCACTTTTTTCCTGCCAACAGAGATGAAATGCCAAACTTTTTTCCCGTCACAGAAAAAACTTAAATATATAGCCTATACAACAGATTCTTGATCATATCACAGAACATTAATGAAGATACATTTACACATATACATATACACTATTAAATACAATGTACATTAAATATAAAGACATTACATTAGGGCAAGAATGTGTTTGGCTCTTTCAGTGCCAGTGTTAAAAATGTCCAGGTTCACTCCGTTACTCAGCGTCGTCATCCTGTTTATCGGGTTATTGTTTGCATAAATAGTTCTATGAATTTCAAAATTGAATGTGCTGCTATAACGTAATCGTTCTTGAGAAACATGAAATTTGAGGGAGTCCAATAATTCAGGACTATCAATCTGATAATTACATTTTTTTTTATTAGTTTTGATATTAGTATTGCTTCTACGCTCTCCTAGGCTTTTTATGTTGGGGCAATTTAAAATACTGTGATAATGAAATTCCTCCATAGGAATAACGAGCTTGAAACCAATATAATGCAAAAAACGTTTCTGAACTCTTTCTATTTTCATGATATGAGCTTGGAAGGCAGGACACCACACAGAGCAGCTATTTTCAGGTTGAGGGCGTACAAATGAAAAGTAAAGGGATTTCAATGCAACAATATTATGAAAGTTTTTTGTTGATCGTTTTATAAACCCCTGCATCTTCAGAGCTTTGTTACAGATAAATTCGATATCAGCATTAAAGCTAAGTTTAGAGTCAAAAAGTATACCTAGGTCTTTCATAATGTCTAAATTTTCAATGACCACCTCATTTAATGAGTACACATAATTGTTAATCATGCTGTGATTTTTGCTGAAACGAATATATTCACATTTTGGGATCTGGCATTGGAATTCATTTTTTTTTTCAATAAAAGTTTCAACATCTTGACAAACGTGAGGTTTTTACTTAAGTCAAGTAGGTAGTTGTTTTCTGTTAGGCTACGAGTTTTTTCATCACCAGCTACAGTATGATCCATGGTTTACAGGACACCCTATTATATTACTCATCCCCAAGAGAATATCGGTCGATTCTGGCCCGAAACAATCACGAATTCTCACCCATTTAAATCAAACACAGGAATAGTAACTATTTCACGTAATGCAAAATCTTTATGATTCCTATTTTCAAAAAGGCCAAAAGTCACGTAAACCCCAATAGAAATCAGATTTGAGACGTCAGTCCCTGCGGATTGTCATGCATTTCAAACTTTTTCACCCCCCAAACAACCAACTCTCAAAGTCACAAGCCCCATGTGGACTTTTTGAATATAAGGACCGTTGCGCTCCAACGGAGGAGGTGGAAGGCGGTTAGGGCTGTTCCTAGTCGCCTTCAGTGATTAGTAATGTCCCCTACCGAGGTCTCATATCGATTGGGCCCCGAGCTATTACTCCACAATTTTTTTTTAGCTTTTGAAATAAAACATTAGCAAGACCGTTTATGTATTCTAATAAGCGTGCAATTACTTCTACTGGGAACGTCCTCCCGGGTATGGTGAAAATGGGTGCCTTGAAGAAGTACTGCGAGAACTTGACGGCGTCCAGAGTGGCCGAGGTGACGATGAGCTTGAGTTCCTCGCGCTTCATCACCGCTTGCTTGAGCAGGCCGAACAAGACGTCCGTGTGGATGGTGCGCTCGTGGGCCTCGTCCAACATTATGACGGAGTACTGTTTCAGGTCCAAGTCCTTAATGAAAAACGAATAATGTGATTAAAACATGTTGATTTCGAGCGTTGGAATCAATTTGTGTTCACATACAATGGTACCCAGCAAATATCGAACAACCGGGAGAAGTCTGGCCTAGTACAGGCAAGTCTGACAAAGTGACGATGTCGGGGTATTGGTAATGGGCCGATGATTTCACTATGCTAAGTAACCATCTGTAAAAAATACTATGATGGCCTTGTGATGGTAAGACGTCTGGTACCAGTTGAACACTAACGAATTCTGGCCCTTTGCTGGACAATATCCTGTTCACTACTTTCCCCCTGGATCATCATTATATGTGACTCTAGTGATAGCGTCTGTTTCGTTTTTCTCTGGTTTGTTGTCGAATTATTGTGGTCCTCACTTTCCCTGATCGATATTTATGATGGCAGGAGTATTCTCAATCGATATTATAGAAGATAGATTCTTCAATTATGATAATATTAAGTAAGTATCAATCTACCTATCTAGTATTTCGTTTCTCATACTCCTATGAAGGAAGAAATTCTGGTAGCAAGAAAGGCCACTGATTACTGATGGAGAATTTCATATTTCAGGAGTACCTACCTCGCAACGAAAAATTCATATTGAAGAAATAATGCAATCCAAATGACATGTAGATGTAGATGCTAGATGGTAAGCAGTGACTCTGAGAAGTGAAAGGATAGAGAGGTTAAGACGATATTGTGTCTTTCATAAATGTTTTCCTTGAAATCTGGTGTGTCTGTTTGATATGATAAATGATATGATATGAGGGGGTTGAGGGTTACATTATAAAATATAAAGTTACTAGAACTTTCAGGTCTATTGAGCCCCTAAAACCACTACCTCTCCCCCTATACCTCGATAGTATGTAACCAATGTCGATACGTCAACTACTGAACGGCTTGGCCGATTGGGTTGAAATTTTTAATAGGTAAAACAACAAATAAAATACAAAAGATACTGAGAGAATGTCTAATTTTCTTATAGGTACACCAACCGTGCGAATATTTCTGATCAATACTTATCAATTGTTACTATATTGACACTCAGAACAGTAACATGGCCACCTGAAAGAAATGAAGACTCGAAAGCTTGAACAGAAACAAGAGTTCACTTTGTTTTACTTTAGACTGCAAAACCAAAGGAATCCACAAGTTTTATCCTTAACTGAGACAGTCGTCTGATCATCGCCTCTATAATAATGATTACCTACCATAAGACACTCTCTGAGCAACATGCCGTCCGTCATGTACTTGATCAAGGTCTCGGGGCTGGTGCAGTCCTCGAACCGGATAGTGTAGCCGACCTCCTGTCCCAACCGGCACCCGAACTCCTCTGCCACCCTTTTGGCCACCGACATGGCGGCTACACGCCTTGGTTGTGTGCACCCGATCTTGCCTGGAATTGGAAAAATTTCACTTTCGATTTGTACTTGTGACCCCAACACTTTTTATGGCTAATGATGATTAAATTTATTCAAAATGCTTACATAATGTTACGTTATTTGGGTGCAGAAGCGAAGACGACACTATTTATTTTCGAATTGATTTATTTGAACTAAAGAAACACTAATTTTATATCGAACTTATAACTACTATTTATATAAAACGATTTATATCACGCGGTATATGACTGTCTCTCTGACACTCGCTCTTGACTGACTGACGCAGTTGTTCGACCGTCTTATACATGAGATCCCTTGGTAGGCTTTGTTTATCGAACGTTCTCGAATGATCTTCCGTACCCTTCTTTTTATTCTAGAAGCTTCTTAGAACAATACATCTCTCTCTCTCTCTAATTGTTCCATCGATTGTTTCCAGAACATTCCAGAATCTTCTGTCACGTCATTTGTCACCGCGGCATATATTGAGTGTTCGGAAATATGCTGGTACATGTAGGAATCATTGGGATGTTGGAGAACAAACTGGGATGCGTGTTACAGGATGATTGTTGTACTCCTGCCTTCCTGATGATGTTCCTAGAGCCCCTCTATGGGAAATACTATTACACTAATATAAATTAAAAGTATACCATATTGGTATTGCATAAACGAAAAAAAAACTTACGAATTACGAAGTATAACTTGCTGTAAGGTAGATAGAATATAAGATACAAATTATGTTCACTAAATCAATTGATCAATGCGAGACAGAAGTAATTGATGGCCGAATTTAAATATGAATATAAATACAATTCAGTACTGTTCCAAATTTCGTACCAGAGATAGAAATAGAAATCAAACATTAATATTATTTAGAGAAACAAATAAACTCCTTGAAGATACTAATATCCTAATTATATGTTACTTTAGTTTTGTAGCAATAAAATGATTTGACTTTCTTAATATCACGCGGAATTTCATCTATTCGTATGATGAAATTCCGTCAGAATATCAGAGTGATTTTCCTGCTTCAGAAAGAAGGATATTTTTAGATAGTTCAGCAACTTGCATATAGGTGGACATGAGCAAGTTCCGAGAGTATACCGGATGACACAGGAGATGTGTAACATCCTGTAGTTTTCTTATTTGAAGATAAAATTTGAAATTCACAAGGGTTATATTATCGATGATGGTGCTTTTTTCAACCACCTGTTTGATTGGAAGTAGACCCAACTTTGTTTTCCAAATGGCACCTGTATATTTCTGTAGTTTATCTCATCCACCTCAAAATATTCTATTCAACTATTTATCATTATTTGATATTCGTTTATTAATTGGCTGCTAAATTGCATTTTATCGAATTACATGAAGTTGGCTGTGGCCCAAATACAATGACATTTCGATGCTTGATAAGCTTATAAATCCAACGATCATCACTTAGACGATTTTCCATACCTTAGTCCATCCCAGAAGTTGTCAATTGAGTTTAAAAAAATCATCCGATAATAACTCACGATATTAGGACAATGCATCAATTATGTCAGTATCATGTATTCAAATGGATGATCATATTATGGCTACATGGCAAAAATGAAAGACAAATAGCTTCTTCACAAGTAGCCAAATGAAAAAAACGGAGTTTCTATTTTAGTTTTCTCAATATCGTGCACGCGACCTATAGCATAAAATAATAAATTCTTGCCTCGAGCAACGAAGCCGGCCTCCGCCAGATACTGGGTGATCTGCGTGGTCTTGCCCGAGCCCGTCTCGCCGATGACGATGAGGATCTGGTTCTCGGTGACGGCTTTACGTAATTCTTCTTTCAGCTTGTAGATGGGCAAGGACTGGCGCTGCTCGATGATGGTCAGGTTGGTTTTCTTGCCGAAAGAGGATTTTTTGCCACCTAACAGAAGATGAATTCATTCAGACCCTCTGTTTCACCTACGTTCAGTTATTTTAGTCAATTTGAGTTAGCCGCCTAAAATCATGTACTGATGTTTTTTACGCCATATGCCTTCTAAGTGGGATTTGCGGAATATGGACCATAAAAACCCAGAAAAGACAGAGTCCAATCATTGCTTGAACGGGTAACATCTCGGGAATATTAATAGAGATACATGGTGACGCTTTACCCTTGTTTCTTGTACCTCAATAATTGATTCAACATGATTTAACATTAAAACGATACTCGATCACTTAGTGAGTGTGATATCGCTCCACAACCCTTGCCATTGATGATTAGGGTACTCCGATTCCTCGTACTTGTCCAAGGAAGGTGAAGTTGGAATATCGGTACTGACAGCTGGAGTGGAGGAAATTTTATTATCTAGCAACCAGATTTTTTTTTTGTTATACTTGTAAGGACGATTTTTAAATTATGAGGGTATTGAATATTTTTGGCGCAATATAATGAAGTGATCTTTGTATTGATGTAAAGGATGTGTTAGGAAATGTGACGTATTTCAGCCTTATAGCTCGGGTAGTAATAGGATGCGAAATTTTTTGCACCATATGCTTATTATTTAGTATTACCCTACAAACATTTTGTATGTGTATCTGTTCAAGATTCAGAACTCTAGCCTCATCAAACACTTGCTCTGTGAAGAATCTTCTGTTTTTAAATAATATGATTCTTAGGATTCTTTTTTGGGCTATTATTAGTAGGGACAGAACGGATTCACAGGCTGAGCGCCATGCTCATAGCATAACAAATGAAGTGTATCAAGATTTCAATGCTGGGATTCCATTTGGTGAATTTTCTGTTTTGTTTTATATTATAAAAAATACCTATGACGTGTTTCTTCCACTCTGGCAAATCCTGTGACTGCAACCCAATGCCTCTCGCCATGACAGTTTTCGATTCTTCTTCGGGCAACGGGTCGATCCAGCTTTTGTTCTTGCCCTGTGGCTGTGCATCTACCTATGGGAGCAAGTAAAAATGATTGTATACGGTTGATATACATATCTCGACATGAAAAATGTTTTTTCCAAATTCACATTTAACAGCCAATTGACCATATTATTATTGCAGTTGAAAAGAGTGAGACATTGTGTGCTATTTATTAACAGAATTTACTGTCCGATAAGTTGTTCTTGCTCTCATTTCAATAACTAACAATTCAACAGTTATTGATCTTATAGAGATACAATAATTTTGACAGTGACACCAATTTCACTCACATTCGACATTTGACACCTATGTAGCCAACCTCACAATATGAAATGTCTATCTTGAAAATACGATCAATTTGAACTGTTCTACTGAAAAGAAATTTCGAAATTCGTCAAATTAAAAACCACCGTAGAGAGAAGAAAAAAGTAGGAATAATACCTCCTGCTCTCGTTGCAGCATTTTAACCTCTCGACGTTCCTTGGCAAGGGCGGATTGCATCATGGCTGCCTGAGCTAGAGAGCCGTCTGGATTCTTCACTATACGGACGGGGCTCAGGTCACTTAGGGCCCTACCGTGCCCTGAGGAGAATAAAACAACAATTTAGGAATACGAAAGATGTGGAGGATTTTTGTGAACAGCTCCAAAATTACATATTTTGGGTTCAAATGACAAAATGTTAATGTCTGCATGTTCTTCGATTCAATGTATTGAACTTGGGAAAATATCAACCAATCATTTTTCTGCATTGAATGAAGTAGCCAATTTTACAAACAAATTCTTACTTTGAGGGTTTTAGATATATTTCAAGGGATTCTGAGCATTTTTAGAAGATACCACATAGAGAGAGAGAGAACATCTTTATTAGGGATATACCCCAAAAGGCCATTGACCGAAGTCTTTCAGCCCGATACCACATAATTCCATCAATTTCCACGAAATTTACAATTGGAAAACATGCGCCTTCTTTTTCTCCTATTTCAAAAAATCAAGATTAAGAATGGATTGATTCTCATTTTTTGAGGTTTTCTGATTTTTTCCCTCCTAAAGTGTGTAGGTATATTTTTTATCTTATGACTTATGACACATTCTTTCAATCACTATTTTACCATATCATGATATCAACAAAAACTTAAACACCCAGGATTTGAGCGGTTGGTTAATTATTTCGTCATAGTTTGAAATGCATTTCCGAGGCAAACTGACAGGTTAACTTATTGTTGACCTGGATTGAGTTCGAGAAAGAATGGCTAAAAAATCATAAGGAACATTACAGAACAACACAACGTTTTCAAATTCAAATTCGAATTCGTTTATTTGTACTTGCAACAGCAGCCATCTGTAAGATGGATATACACGTCATGCTTAGCATTTACATTTAGTATGCATACATATAGAGTAATATAGACAATACACTCACTCAAAAGTAGGTTGTCAGTTGAATAAAGAAAAAAAAAAAAAAAAAAAGGTACATATATACAAGTATACAATAATGGAGAATGAAAATTCTCGTTATGACTGATTCACTCTAACGAGTCAACGAGGGATTCTCTCACTGAATAATATGCTTTCTCCAGCAATATTTTTTCAATTGTTTGTTTGTATTTTCTGAGACTCATGTTCTGTATGATGCTCGGTAGTTTGTTGAAAAACTCAGCTCCGACATACCCCAGGCTTTTCTCAAATTTTGCGAATTTATGTTGACTTACACTCAATGCATTTGCTGTTCTTGTTGGATAATTGTGGAAGGATGAGTTTCTTTTGTATGTTTGTATGTTTTCTTTTACATAACTTAATGTTTCATAAATATATATACAGGGAGAAGTCAATATGTTTTTGTTAATGAATATAGTCTTGCAGCTATCTTCGTATTTCATACTGAACATAAGTCTCAGGATGCGTTTTTGGCAGACGAAAATTCTTTCAGAGTATGTGCAATCTCCCCATAGGATGACGTTGTATGATAGGTGACAGTATTCAATAGTACATGTCCATCAGTACGTTTTTGTGCAATGTTTTTTTAGTTTTAGTATAGCAAAAAATCCAGAATTGTTTTTTTTTAATGTGTTCAAGATCGTTGCCCCATGATATATACTGATCTAAGTGAAGTCATAAGAATTTGGTTGATTACGAGTTCTGAATTTCCGCTAGAGAAGAACAAGGACTGTTTTTTCTGCACTTGAATTGGATATATATAGTTTTTTCATTGTTTAGTATCAAATTATTAGCATTACACCCCTTTCCGAAAGAATTTATGATCTCACTTGCAGTATTTTCCAATTCCTTCAGGGTCCGTGCAGAGACCACCACCGAAGAATCGTCTGCGAACATTGTGACTTGTTCATTTGTGACATGATCGGGCTTATCAGTGACGAATATTAGGAAGAGCAGTGGTGCCAACACTGACCCCAGCGGGACCCCATCAAGCTCGGATTCTGAGAATCTTAAACGCCAAACATGGGTAAATGAATGAAATCCCGAATGGTGAGGATAACTGGGGATTCCTATAAATGTGTGAATGTGTATAAATAAATCAACTCTCACGTGTTGTAACATAATTATACGTCATTTGTAACGTCTTAGTGAGGTTAGATTAGGATTCAATATATTAAACACGCTTTTCATCAACAAAAGCAAGTCCTCAAACAAGAACATCATTGGACTAATTTTCTACGTATCCATGAAATATCAGGTTAGGATATTTGTAACTAATTTTTGTTCACAGATTTGACCATATTTATATTGATTAGATAATACCAAATGAGTTACTGAAATACATAAAACTAATCACACAAGAGCCGGAAAACAATAAATAACAAAAACGACAAATGACATTTCTTACAACGATTATTCTCGTCTACTACGAAACTTTGCAGTGCCGCCACGTTCATCTTTAAATAATTATTATTCTTGTACCTTAAAATAACTAATAAGTTTATAATTATCAGTAGTGAATTTCTGGCAATAGTGTTGTTATAGGTGTATCATTATGTAATAAAGGTTGTTCTATATATCGAAGACTGAAACTTCTGGAACCTTTGGCACGATAATACACTACACTGTTTCACCACTTGATTGAAACTGTTTGTAGCATCAATCTTCTCCTGAAGATGCTAACATAGTGAGCCAAACACGTGTCGAGGCATTTAAAAAATCGGTTTGATTAGTGGTAAAACAGTGTAGTGTAAAGGTGGTTCTATTGATTGATTTTGTCTATGAAATAATATTTGAATGGATAATTATTATACTTACACATTACCCTGTTGCCCTGATACCAAAATAGATATCAAAATATTACGTTTTCCCCTATATTTTTGAAAGTGGTTCCATACATATAAGAGCATATCTCAACTCAGTGAACTATGTCTGGTATATGCGCTGATATGGGCCGATTGCATGAAGCATTTGACACGAATTAATATTAAATTTTCTGCCTTAGCTGATAGAAGAGTTTATTCCTCGTTGAATCAACAGACAGCCAATCTATGTAACCGACTCTCAAGTATCTTAATTACGACCAAAGATATTATTCCTGATTCCTGATTATTGACGGGACGTTAGTTACAGTGAGTTGGTAGAATGATTACATTTATTGTTTGGGTCAGGCCATCTTTGCAGATATTGCTGAACTTCGAACAAATATACATTCATATTGCGCCAAATTTGTGTGGCCTACTAGCCAAGGTAAAAACGAGCGAGATTCGACAAAGAGGAACGAGAGAGTAAAATAGCGACATAATCAAAATAAACCATGTCGCAGATTGACCTCTGCGAGGTCTCACCACCCCATATATGATGAGATTCGGGGACGTCAAGTGTGACTGACATCCGATTCCGATGGAATGAAAGTCGTGTTTGAGAGTAATCATTCTAGTCTTTCAATCATCGCGTATTAATATTGTCGTTCAGATATGGATGTATCTCAGATCGCAGGCATCATCGTTCCTGCAACGGCGGCTCAGCTCCCAAAGCCCATCGCCATTCAAGGGGTTTCTAGCTCCATCAGATGTGGAGCTTGATCTGGAAGAACCTCTTCGACAACAGACACTCTTTACAACTTACAACTAGTTACTCACCCTGTAGGAAGGGCGCCTCCTCCTCGACCAGCTCGATCTCGATGTCCGCCTCGCCGCCGTCCTCGTCTTTCGGCAGCAACCCGGTGTCCTCGTCGAAGTCCGGCAGCTCGCTCTTGTCGATGCACCCCGACGATATCATCTGTTTGATCTCCCACCGTTCGGGACTGGATATGCGCGTCACACGCTTCCTGGAGTCCTCCTTGAGAACGGAACGGAAATCAGAATGGAGAATACAATGAATTAGTCATCTCCACAACTTTAATAATGATGTAGTCAATCAAATGGACATGTTTCGGACGTATAAAAGTCCATCTTCTGGCCATATTTTAGAAGTTACTACAAGTAAAGGCATGTGAAAATATACATATTGTTATAAAAACCACAAGTTGACTTACATGGAGGTGAACATTATATGTTTTTAAATGGATGCCGATGTCTGATGTCAAAACATTTTTCAATAATTTTGTCAAATATGTGAACATAACTTTTTTCCTCCACAACATATGAGTTATTAGACCTATCGTTGTTGAGGGGTTTGTCTGACATAGTTCTTTGTTTTCCTCTTCGCTGATAATGAAGCTTTAAAGCTTCGAAACAAGTCCCCGTAATTTTGCTTACAATAAATTATAGTTTTGGTGGAGTAGACTGTATGAATTTCGTCCTGTCCTCTGTATAGTTTAGTGATAAAAGACCAAGGTCAACATGTGAACTAACAACTTGGCGGTTATTGTCTTTCACGGTTGGGTGGAAATTTACCTAGTATATAAGTAGCACACTAGGATAGAACATCTAGTTTTAATCTTCTCCTGAAGATGCTAATATAGTTAGCGAAACACCTGTCGAAGTGCAAAAAAACGGTTTGGTTAGTGGTAAAACAGTGTGTAGTGTCATGATGCTTTGTTAATGAGAATTTATTCTTGGACAATGGAGTACATTTTTGATTGATTGATTGAAATATTATCATTATTATACCCTGTACTATAAAAAAAATGGTATCCCAGCAAACATCGAATCTCTGGCCGCCTTTGGCCCAATGCATGATCAGTCAGGGGGCCAGGTAGCCGTGCGGACAGAGTGTCCATATCCTAATCCGCATTCGCTGGCCGGTCGTGGTTTCGATTCCCATCGACTGCAGAAATTTTTCTGATGGTCCAAGAAAGTGTTTGGGATCACACGTTAAAAGGTAAGACCCCCGTCATTCCTTGCTCGCACAAGACTCTCGAAGACTTCTGAGGGTTGCTCGTAAGGGGGCAACCGAATGACGGATAGAACAATTTTAGAACAATTTTAGAACAAAAAAAAAATTAGTCGGCAGAGTGCTGGCAACGGCTGGGCTGCAACGGGCGAACGCCGGCCCATTGTATGGTATATTATATGTAATCGTTTATCCATAATCCAGCCAGCACTGGACCAGGAGTATCAAATCGTGATGCCATTTCACTACGTCGTCTAAACATCGGCCCTTTGAATGGTATATGGAAATCATTCAACTATAATCCAGCCGGCATCGGGCGAATAAAAGGCAGCATCCGCGCTTTACCAGACTTCATCATATTATGATATTGCCTACACATCAGCCCTCTCCTGTGTAATTTCGATGAAAAGATATCTATACTTTATGATGAAAAAAATTGCATAATATATGATACGATTGTGGATAGTAAACGTCAATTCACCTATTATATTATTTTTGGTTCTTCAACATTCCGTTGTATACGTATATATAGGTATCCAATATTTGCTCGCTGATAGGTAAATAAACTTACCACCTACCATCATATTTCACTAAGAAATTCAAAACAAACTCAGGTGAGTCACAGAAACTCGTCTACTTTATCGGAGAATTAGAAATTGTTGTCCTCTGTTATGATATGATTATTATAAGTATTCATTGATAGCACTCATAAGTCATCCGTAGTCAACATCTAACAAGAAGTGAAAATGGCTCAGTTGGTAAGATCCCGGCTTCGTAATCCAAAGGTCGCAAGTTCGAACGCGGCGACCGGTTACTTCTTTTTTTAATTTTTGGTCTGACGGTATACAGGCATCGGTCCGGCCGTCGGCCAGAGTGAGCTATTGATCAGACGTTGTTTGCCGCTCCGTTGCCCCGTCGGCAACTTCTGGCAAGCAGGTTTTGGGCCGACGTAATAAGGACCGAAATTGTTTGCTGATATGAGGCGGTATCCAGTCTGTCTTACACCGTAGCAAGGCCGCACCGGATTGACTGTAGATGGCGTTCACAGATATAATGAAAGTTTCACGTTTTTTTCATTAAATCAATCACTTTTTCTCAATGTTTTCAAATAACGAATTAATATACGTAAATGTAAACAACAAAACAAAAAAACCATTGTGTAGCAAGATCACTTCGGGAACAGCGCCATCTAGCGTTAGTTTTGCGCGGCCTTACTACAGTGATAGAATTCGACATAATCAAGTAGGCCAGAGGTCTACAAAAATTTCTAGGGTTTTGTAAGAGGGAGCTATTTCACCATACATATATCCACCTTTCTATGATCTAATAGACCTTGAAACAAACCGACCTACCTCGCCTTCGTCGATATTCACGGGCAACCTGAGCACGGAGGTGCCACCCATCGTCGGCCTGTCCGGGTTCCTGTCCCTGTCCTCCCGCTCGGCGGGCGCGTGCGACGCTGGGTTCAGGTCCCTGCCCGTCGTCTGGCAGACGTCCTTCATCGACAGCGACACCTTCTGGCCGGTGACGGAGAGGACTTTCACCTGCGGTGGGGAGAAGTTACTGTGCGATTGTCATTTTGTGTACATACATTGATTATTAGCCCTAGAAACAATGTTGTTCATGATAGATATATCTATATACAGCGTGTCTCACTTCAAACGGCCCCCCTCTATATCTCAGTTAGTAGTCATGCGATTCCAACCAAATTTGGTGTGTACATCATCTTGGACAGTGCCGTGCGTTTTTATTGAATTAAAAATCAATCAATCAATCCATCAATTTATTCAATTCAATTCAGATACATACATACATGTTCTTTTATATTGTTAATGTTACATATCGTAAATAAATAGTATATTATTACATTAAATTGCGAAAGAAATTATTAATAACTAAATAAGTAAATAAGTGGTGGTGTTCAGTTCTTGGGAGACGCCTAAGCAGAGCTTGTGTTGCGTATTTTCCCAGATCTGGACACAACCATGAAGGTAAATAGAAAAAAAATAAGATGAAGGAAACTATTCATCCATTTCAGTAAAAAATATGAATTAAGAATCAACAAAAATCAATGATCAACTCACAGGAGAATCGGACAAGACACTCAGGCAAAAGGGAGACAGCTTTAAATAAGATATTAATAAATTATTCGGACATGGTTCAGTAGATAGATTCAAGTGTTTGTTTTAGGGAATCAAAGTTGTGATCGACGAAGGATCTGATTGTTTTCTTGCGTTTTTTAAAGCTTTTTATATTTCGTAGTTCAATGGGAACTTGATTGACAAGTTTTGGTCCAAAGAAAGTAACAAACCTTTGGGTATATACAATAAGGGGTCAATTTTTCATAAAATCATATAAGGCTTTTTTTTACAGGAAATCTAACCTCATATCATTGTTCCTCATGCTTTCGAACCTCCATATGCAAAAAATCACCTTATTCCGAATTAACAGGATTGGTCACATTTTCTTCATTTTCAGTCTCGAATAAATAGTGACTTCGAATCAACTACGAATTTTGGAACGTTCAATGGCTCCGGTAGCTGTAAAATCATGATTTGGAAGGAAAAACGAGTTATACTTTTTTATGTTGAACTCACCGTTTCCGAGTAAATAATTATAACGTTCGCAAGAATGCTGCATAGACATTTTATGAAAATCCACATAATGTGTGTTTGAAACCATGAAGAACAATATTATGGGACAGTTTTCCTGTGAAAAAATGCCTTATATGATTTAATAAAAAACTGACCACTATTCATTTCAATATAAATGCACGGCACAATGATGTTTGTCTTTGAAGAACTGGTCATATTGATGATTATTCATACCGATACGAATTTGGTAAAGATCGCACGACTGATGGCTGAGATATAGAAGGGGGGGGCGTTTGAAATGAGATACGCTGTAAACCACAGTGACAGCTCGTCAGGGGCGGCAGGGTCGGCCAGACCGTACCAGAAAATTTGAGGAAAAAAGCTGAACTATTCGATGAATACGATTATTTTTTCTGTGACGGGAAAAAAGTTTGGCATTTCATCTCTGTTGGCAGGTTATAAAATGTCACTTTTCATAAATTCCTTTTTTCCCGTGGGAAAAAAGTGAGTACTTTTTTCCCGGATATATATCACATATATATATACACTGTTGATGGCTTTTATTGTGCTATAGTTCCGAAAAATGAGTCAATAATACCGTCTCCCAGAAAGAACTGCAAGTCCTTTTATCTTCCATTCGACTTCTCGGTCACGTATATTATTAAACAACCACTAAATTCGCAATTTTTTGAAATCAAATCACAGAATTGACTGATAGAAGTGACATCAGATATTCGATTACTTCAAAAGAATGATAAAGATGCCTACAATGCAGGTGTCCCCACTGTTAAAAACTTAAAATTTCACGTCGATAATTTTCAGATTTCAAAATAATGCAATATCTTCCCAATATTGATTCGTCCGTTCTTCTGTCACAGAAAAAAATTGTGTATTATACACGGGAAAAATATTAGATTTTAGCTCACGGTTTTTTGTCTCCCTCCGCTACGCGTCGGGACACCACAACCTGGAGCTAAAATCTACTACTTTGTTCCCTTGTATAACGAATAACTATTTTCGTTATTGTTCCCTATATTCATCGTTTTTTATGCTACTATTATGCCACTATTATTTGAATTTCATGCACTGAAACCTTTGGGTGAGCCATCCGAATAAACACCGTAAATCACGAAATAATTCAGGACCTACGACATCTGGTTATCCATCGACAAAACACCGCTCAAAGTTGAAACGCTCGCGTAGCTCATTACACTACTGCAGTCGGCTAGCCGAACGGTGGTTTCTTGACGTATTGCCCGGTGCAAGTTCAAATTCTCGCGTATACACGTCATACACTGGCACGGCCGAGCTTGGCTGGCCAAACGTACCTTTCGCATAGTGTGCTGTGCCCCGTATACAGGATGAACAGAAGATCTATCCACCTTTCCCGTATACCAACCCCATTAATGGATTGTCATTCTATTTTCGTTTTACCAATACATTGTATTTACAACTATTATTTCTTTATTTATATGTTGATTTTGAAATGTAACAACTGTGAAAAAATAAATTTCGAATAGGTATACGAAAATGAAATGCCTACGTCATGTTTTTTGAATTTGCAATTTTTCAGTTATTCTGTTATTCCTAATTCGACTTTCATCAAATATTGAAATCAGTACTGATTTACCTTCAGCGCTCCTGAGTGGCACTAATTTAAGTATAACTTGAATATTGTATACGTGATGGGACTAATAATATGGCAAAACAAACAGCAGCCCAAGAGCCAAGTATTAAAACATCGTAAAAAAAGATCTGGTGATGAGAATGTATGGATTGTATGGAACTTCTAGAATATTATTTATTTTCAAATACGCATGTAGCGATGACAAATAATATGTACTTTGCCTCCACCGCGGGAAACATTTTGAGGACAATTGACGATACACGAGGTACGGCCGACCGACCAGGAAACAGCTTGATATTAGTCAGTGTGGTATTTTTGCGTTTGATGTGTCGTGTGTTGAAGTAGTCGAAAATAGTTCATTCTAGCTTCAGGTTAAGTAGAAAAAAATTGAAAATAGTCATGGCGAGCGTAAGAGAGGTAGTATGATCTGATAAGCCATTTATTATCATTTCATTGAAAACAGGAAATTAAGTTGACGAACTAGAGCAACATCTACCCTGGCCGACCCAGATTCTGAGGGCACGAGCCGGCACGAGCCGTCACTGATATACCGGGTGGTCCATTCACCCTCGATAACTCACAGAAAAATAATTTCACAAAAAAATTACGAAACATGTCGATTTTTATTTGGAGTTGGACACCGTTTGACGCAAAAAAGATGATACATCCTTCAACCCTCTACACCGCAGAGCAACCCTCTCAATTATTTGAATAGGGAATGAGGGTCATGTTATACCAGGTGAACAGCTAAGAACGGGTGTCGGCGTGATCTGGAGAGTATCAATAGATATCGTGAATTGAAAATGTAATGTATGCATATTATTACACGATCAACACACGATGCTCCACGAACACTATAGGAATTTCCTTTCGTGCGCTCCAAGAGATGAAAAAAAATTCGCCTTCTCTTTTATCGCCGCATCTAAAAACTTAAAAGCACTGTATTTCAAAAATGACATCAATAGAATATCAAGTATGCTATATTTTTGGAATGGTGAATTCAAGCTCTATTGAAATATGCAGAAATATACAGGGTGTCCCACCTGAAAAAAATATTTTTCCGTTATTAACTATTGATATATAATTTGAAAAAATAAATTACCTATACCATTAAATTCTAAGTGAAAAATTGCTTCGGAAATGTTTTCATAGAAACAACAAATTTTCGACAGTAAAAAAGTAACAGCAAGTTTTCGAAAATGCAGATTTTGGCCCAGTGTACATGACGCTTATTCCTTATTCAAATTATCAAGGGGGTTGCTCTGGGGAGTAAAGGGTTGAAATATGTATTATCTTCTTTGCATCAAACGGTGTCACCCTCCAAATAATTTCTGCGGGTTATCGAGGGTAGATAGTCTAGAATGGACCACCCGGTATATAAAAATGAATCCTTATTTTCCTTGGTCATGCCATTACAAGCGAACAGCTAGACCGATTTCGCTAATTCTTTTTTTTTTTTTGTGTTTATTATTGTCAGAATGTCTTTAGAAAGAAAAAAATTAAGAAATTCAAGATGACGGATCCAATATGGCGGCCGAATTTTGTAATTATGTTCCAATTATATTCAAAATTGGTATCTAGGAGTTTTCGGGGTCGGAGATTATGATTATTTTGTCAAAATTGGAAAATTCAAGATGGCGGACGAGTTTTGTAATCATATACCGATTATATTAAAACTTGATGTCTGGGAGTTTTTGGGGTAGGAGATTATGATTCTTTCCTCAAAATAGAAAGAAATAAGAAATTCAAAATCTGTACCTGAGGGTTTTTGGGGTCGGAGATTATGATTCTTTTGTCAAAACTGGACAATTCAAGATGGCGGATCCAATATGGCCGACAAGTTTTGTAATTATGATCTGATTCTATTCAAAATTTGTATCTGAGAGTTTTCGGGGTCTGAACTTATGATTCTTTGTCAAAATTAGAAAAATCAAGATGGTAATTATGTTCCGATTCTATTCAGAATTGGTATCTAGGGGTTTTTGGAGACAGGGATTATGATTCTCTCCTCAACATATGAAAATTCAAGATGGCGGATACAATATGGCGGACATTTTTAATTATGATCTGAATCATAATATACTGAGCCCTTATTGGCTTTCAGTAAATTCAAAGTATTTGTCAAATGTAATTTCTATCTGATAATTTAACAGATCAAAGATGGAAGTTGAATTGAATTTGATATTATATTCAGTTGAATGAAAAAATTATCAGACATTATTATTTTTATTAACAACTATAATTATATCTTTGGGAAATAAACTCAATCAATCAATCATATAAATAACAGTCTTGATGATATACTTATAATTAAGTTGGTTGTTCATATTAAACCATGAATGAAATGATTTGAATTGTTTGGACTAAATATTTTTGATGACACAAATAATATCAATATATCAATTAATCCTATATAATTTTCAATTACACAACTTTTAATTACTTTACCTTCACTTTGGTGCCTCTAGAGACAACTTCAGACACATTGGTGACTCTACCTTCTGCCCTTAGTTGTGAAATGTGAACTAAACCCTCCCATCTTTTCCTCAGGCCTTCTAATTGGACAAAACAGCCAAAAGGAACAATGTTTGATACTTTTCCAGAATAAATCTGAAATGAAAAGTGTTTATTAAATAATTTAGCACAGTTTGAATTGTTTACTGTTCCAGGAGTGGGATCATCTTCATAATCAGCACTGCTCATATCAATTTTGGGCTTCCTTTCTACACTTCTATCTCTTTCTTTTCTATCCCTAGACCTACTTCTTCGCTTTTCTCTTGATCTACTTCTATTCCTTTGGTCTCTTGATCCCCTATCCCTTGATCTACTTCTTCTTTTCCTTCTGTAGTCAGATTCCCTATCCAGCCTATGATTAGATTCTTCATCTCTTTCTCTTTTGTGACTTGAATCTTTATCTCTTCTGTAGTCTGAGTCTCTACCTCTTTTATGATCAGTTTCCCTATCTTTTCTATGATTTGATTCCCTATCTCTTCTATGATTAGTTTCTTTATCTCTTCTAGTATATTTTTCTCTGCTTCTAGAACGCTTTCGCTTGTTTGGAGAGTGGCTTCTAGACCTTTTTCTACTAGGAGGTGATCTTATTTTGGTCTTATTCTCTGGTGTTCTACTTATTTCTACTTTTGTATCTTTTTTAGAAGGAGCTTCTGCTTCAAACTGTTTCATTATATCTGCAACTATATCAATATCTTCACCTTTCCTTTCATTGCCATTTCCATCAGGTTCATGCTCAGAGTCACTAACATTAAATTGTTTTTGTGGTTCATTTGGTATTGCCAGTCCAGGAAATTTGTATGCCAATGAATCTTTTTCAATAATTTCAGCTTCTTCCTGGGTTTGGTTCTTTTTGGGACGCATATGCTGGATTATTCTAAGTAAATTGGATATGAAAGAGTCTGAAAATTCTGCCCCATTTTCCAGGAGAGCATTTTTGAAAGTTCCAAAGTTATCATTTGTTTCAGACAAGTGTATGATATATTCAGCTGAAAATAATAGATCAGAATTAATTATAAAGTTCCACATTAAGACACTAGTCAACTTCTTACCCAAATCTTTGTCATTCATTCCAAGATGGTTTTCTAATTCTGTACATACTTTCGATACAAGTGAAAGATATTCTAATTTTTCTACTTCATTCATTTTATTGAGAATATGATTTCAATGTATAATGATTTATGGAAAATTCGTCAGAATAATCTCTGAAACAAATTAAAATAATAAACAAGCTATAATAACCTAACTTCAAAAGGAAAGTAAACAAGTAACCTGTCATCCAAGGTGGATCTGTCATCTGTCATTCTGTAATGCTTTCTTCTGCTTCTTTCTTTCCAATGGCCTTCGCCTTACAGGGCATTTGGCTATATATATATTGCAGGCAATGCGATGACGTATGACATGACGTTAGACAGTTCAAAACACGGAACACATCAGTACTGCACCCTTTACTTCGATTTTGTGGTGTTTATGCTTATTTTTTTCTCATTTTTTGGTTTTCGTCTCATTTTCCTGTATCAAAAATGCCAAAACACTGATTATGAAGATGGTAAAAATACAAAATTATGGAATCTGAAGAGCAGAATCAGGAGACCATTAAAACAGTCATCAATGTTGAAGATTTGAATATCGAAATTTTACCGATCATCTATGAAATAATTAAAAGGTTAGTTTGTTGGCAGTACAAACACAACAAACTGATTACATAAATACAAATTAAATACATTTCAGTATCGAAAAAGACAATCACCACGATAACACCGCCAAAACCAGGGATTCCCAAGACTGTTCTCTAAAAGTTTTGGAATTGCAAAAAAGATTGGATCAAGCCAGGGCAGAGGTGCAGTATACATCAAATGATAGCATTTTCAAGTAAATTACATTATTTATATCTATAGATTCGTATGCTACCTGGTATTGAATATAGCAAAGAGCAGCAGCTGAATCATCTGGACGCCTTGAAAACCCAGCTGCAATTGAAACAAGCCCTCTTACAAAAATACCGTTATATGTATCCTTTTGACAGTCATAAACCTTAGAAGCATGGTATTTCGTCTACTCATCAGAATATTGGCAAATAATGAGCACCTGGTACAGAAATTGAGTGAATCATATCCTATGCGAAAAGCAGCTCAATTAGTAGTGAGGGTTATGTTTTCTGGAAAAAATTTCATTGAAGAGAGAAGGTTGCATGAGAAGTTGTCTCCAGAACAGTTCAGATCTCTGATGAATGAAGTAGCATCAAATTTTCAGAGCCAATTGAAACAAGCACAGGAGACTTTCAAGAGGAAAATGAAGTAGTTCTTGGTATCTGGAAAATATAATTATAATATGAGTTCTGTAATTTTTATTGGATCTCCTGGGCACAAGGGGAACACTGTTAGCCTGATAGATTTATTTATAGTTTCTCCTGTAGACATAATTCACAGAATACTCAGATCATTTGTGCCACCTGTAAAAAGGTTTCAGAGAGTTTACATTGATCTTCTGGGGCCTACACTAGGATTGTTGATTTTATTGTGTGTTGTTGTATATACAAATTCAATGAAACTTGTCAGTGGGGCCACAACTCCAACTGAGTTTCTCATTGCCTATTCAATTTTCATGCCTCTGATTTGTTTTTCCATGGGTAAACTGAGCAGGTCCACTATAACTTTCTATGAAATACTTTCCCTCTTAGGTTATAGTTGTTATGGCCATATTCTCACATTGCTCTTATCTTATGTGTTTGATAATGAAGATAATTTGATTTTCTTTGTATTATTGACCTTTGTTGGAGGCCTCAGTACTTTACGGTTGGCTCTGACTTTTTTGGGGACCATAACTATCCCAGCAGCAAGACTACTTGTATGTACAACTATTTCAATTTTGAACATACTGTCTTTGATACATTTGTATTTTGCTTATGTGCACAAGAGTTTTTTGTATAAAGGAAGTGGTGGTTAGATTCAACTTGATATTCTCAAATGGGTTTCAATTTTGAATAGGACTGCAGAAATTAGATAGCTCATTTCATACTTCATATGTACTTATCATCATGATTATTTTCATGGAACTCTTTTTCCCTGTTTAAACCCAATTTTTCAGCGATTTCTTCGTTTTTTTGCAATCTGAAAGTTTTCCAAGATTGAAAAAAATGTAATTCCAGTTGACTTTGATAAGGTTTATTAACAAATAAGATTTTTTTGTCAGATTCTGAAATTGAACAAACAGAAGTGGTTTTATCAGTTATTTAATGATCAATTGAGCTCTTTCTACCTTGAACAAGAGAGGGGGAAGTTCTCTCCTCTTCCATCTTTCTCTTCAATGCTGACGTTTCAATTCCATTTATTCAATAAAAACATATTTACAATTTACAATACATGGTGTATAAACAAAAATCTTCCAAAGGGGACATTGGACATGATAAAAATGTAAAACATACAATGTTGAATGAACACTTAGATACGCCATGTGAATACACCACAGAATTTCCCTCCAAGGGAGCCCTCAGAGGCGGCCGATGCAGGCCTCTCGATGATTTTTGTTTAACAACCCTGATGACAGTAATGAGGGAGCTGACTCCTAGGAGTCCTAGGAGTATACCTTTAATCCAGCTCATGTCAGTGAGTTGCCCAGGGCAGAAAAAAGATTGATCGTCGGTTGCTACCTTGTTCTCTCTAATTTAGCATTTTGGTGTTGGAAAATAGCAAAAAAACAACTTTTAAAAATTCTCTGTGGAAGACCAACCTGGCCGCATTGAAATGTGAAGAGGTCTTATGAATCTTTCTCTTGTCTAACCTCTAGTCTGCGCCACTGAACTATTTTCGATGTTATCTGTGATAGAAAATATCACGTCATTCTACCTGACGGTAACTTCTTGAACTCTGAGCGGTTTGTTTTGATAATGTGACCACCATATATCTACTAATCATATATGAATCATAGCTGTCCTCAAAGCGGGACCAACTTCTGTCTCTATAGGTAATGAAATCGACCAATAGGCGTTGATGGGTTGATGCCGACGTAGGGAAAAATAATACGAAACTTGTCAAACCAATATGGCTGTTGCCATCCTTCACTATCCGTCCTTGTAGATTCAAAAAGTACCCCTCATTTTGGTAGCATTCCTGTTGAGATATCGTATAGGCGATGGGCCATATCCTTATATATAGAAATAGTGCATATATGATGGCCACTAACCACAAACAAAAACATGTGAAGCAATGAAAACAAAGTTACCATGCCGCTTTGATAGCTTTCAAGAACTCCGATAGGTGGCGTACGCTTTTCTTTTGTGAATAATGATTCTTCAGGAACTGACATATGTAACAACTTTATATTCAAGTTCTGGAATAATTCCAATATACTTCTTATCTCTTTATTTATTAATTCTATTATTCACATGTTTTTATATTATCCATGGATATCATCATCCCTAATACAGGGTGACAGACATATACTGAGGAATATTAAATTCTAGATCTAATATTCCCACAACATATTTCACTTGGACTGAACTGAATCAGTTAACATGCATTCTACCTAATCAAATTATTTAAGAACACATAATAACTGATTCAGTTCAGTTCTAGTGAGATATTTCAGATTATAATGATGTGATGTCTGTTATAAATGTCATTGACTAATAACCTTTAAGATTTTTGTTCGTTAATATCGTTAATTTGTCACTCTGTTGAATTCAAAATTAGTTCAGTGGCATAAACTAGACAAGGAGTGATTTATCGGAACTCTCTATATTTCAATGCGGCAACGTTGGTAGCATTGAAAAGAAAGGTGGAAGAGATACATTTCCTTTCTCTCGTTCAAGGAAGAGAATGGCTCAATGTGGAAAAGAAATATTTTTTGTGCATGTTTATAATGTGTAATTATTAGCTAATTTTCCACTACTGAGAATTTGTTTTAAGAGTTTAATTCATCATTGTTGCACTTGATGTCCATAAATAAAACCCAGAAAATTCTCAAGTATATGTATAGACAGACTTATTTGAGAGTACAGGAGGGAATGTTTTTTGTCTTGTAATAAAAATACCAGATATATTTTAAATATTATTTCTCAATCCACAAATAAACAAAACAGTACATTATTTTCTCTGCTACCTGTCAACACATAACATACTGAAGACAAGTCAAATAAATAAAATTAAAGACGACAAACAAACGAGATAGGGAACTTTAGGAAACAAATAAAATATATGAATTTCTATTTAAGTATGACAGGTGAAAATAAAGTTGAACTTATCTGAGCCTACTGCACCTTTGTTGGGTTTCTATTAGCGACACCCAAGGGAGTGATATTGGTAACGTCTGGTAAGGGCTTCGAGATGGTCGAGCTCGAATTGTTCTGCATTTTCCCCCGGCCGCCCCTCCGACTTCTCCCCCTTTTGGGCCCCATTTTCTGCATGCTCATCTCCCGACCGTCCGGCCCTGTCGCCATCACGGAGTCGGCTGTCTCGGGCTCCACACCCTTGTGAAGAAAAATTGTATTTTTTTTTCATTGAAAGCATAACATCCAGTCAAAAACAAGTTGGTACAGAAATATCGGGTGTTTAATTTTTGGCAGACGGAAAAGTTTTTGTTATATCTTTCCACAGGGTGGACGAATGATTCTGCTTTTATCTGTATATATGTTGTTTTTAAAATATTCAGGCATAGGAAAAATTAAATTATGGATACAAAGCAGATCCACTTTTTGTCCCAAAAAAGTTTGAGGTGGTGTTTTTAATTTCTCATAATTTTTACTGATTACTGAATTGTAATAAAAATAAACCTGCCAAATCTTGATTAGGACACTATTTTCGAGAAACAGTCAAAAAGTTTGAAATACTGAACTACTTTCACTTGAAATTCCCGAAAATATCAAAAATTCCTTTCAGGAAAATTGATTTCATTCTGTAGAGTTCCTGGATGTCTTGAACACTTATGATTTCTTTGAAAATACTTTGAATTCTTGGAGACCTTTTGAATTTTCTGGTAATATCAAAGAATGAAATAAAACTGTAATCTGTAATTTCTTGAAATACATAAAAATATCTTAAATTTCTTGCACATTTCAAAATCAATATGATGAAGCTGATCTTGGCTAGATTTATTTATTTCCTCAAAATTCTTAAACATTTTTAAAAACTCCTAAGAATTCCAATACAAGGCGACTTCAAATCAATAATTTTTTTCGGTAAAACTGCAATGGCTAGATTTATTTATTTCCTCAGAATTTCTTGGAACAACTTTGAAATTCATTTAATTTTTTGCAAATTCTTTGGACTCCATTGGGACTTCCTTAAAGTTCCTTGAATTTGTTGGATCTGGCATACATCCACTTTAATTTCTTGAAATTTACACTTCACAGACATATCCTAGAATTCTTTCAAATTCCTTCAACAATTTGAGGCTGGAGTGAAATAACTGATAGAATTTGTTTTGTTCTTCGAAATTCTATTAAAATATATTGTTAAATCAATCTTGATGTGGTACTGACCCTGGAGGATAAATTATCTCATTATTCGGTTTGAAATTCTCACCATGAAATCAATTGGATTTTTTTTGTGTGAAATCCTCGGAGTTCCTTGAAATCAAAGAGGGTTTGCAAAACCGAGGTTTAGAATATCAAATTCTGACCATTTTATAAAACCTAATTACCTCCTGTGAATTTTCATTGTGATTAGAGTGCTGTGAGTTTTTTTGTGATGCTTGGCCACTGCCGTAGCGCTGCTGTTTGTTCTGTTTTGCCCTGTTGCCAAGATGAGTTGGCGTCGATTGGTGGATTATTCGGACTATATTGCCCACTGCTTTCGTCCTTCCCTAAAAAAAATTAAATACCTCAACGCCAGTAGGGTTCTTAATGCAAACTGACGTATTTGTCATCTAACAGGGTATGGACAGATCATGGCTCCTGTCTCTTTTAATCATCTAGTGACTTTGGTTTCATGTATTGGCGTCCCTGACATTACATTGCTGTCACGTCACATTCATAGGCTTTAAAAGAGATCTTACAAAATTTAAATCTCATACTTGATCTTAATACATTATTCAATTCTGTTTTGGAAGGGTAGTTGGATGGCAAATTTGAATTTCTCAGCTTTCCATCAAATGCAAATGAACTTAGAACATGGAAGTGAAGTGACCGAATGGGGAAAATTGGTAAATACATCAGCAAAATATTCGAGGTAAAACTAATATGAAATCACATGTTATACTTTCTCATTGTGCCTATAATTATCTCTACTCCACAAGTTTTTGGATGCATTTTAGTAGAAACTGTTTTGATTAAAACGGAGGATTAAAAGAAGAGGTATATGCCCTACCATTTGTGTTCGTGAAAAACTGCAAAAATGATTCCCAACATGAATATATACAGCACACATGACATATGAGCACATTAGTTTGAATACCTACACACAATTTTTACCATTTCTCAACCATAAGGCTTAGTCTGATATCAAAATTAATTTATTGATAGGTACTGCCTAAGAGCAATCCCATTTGGTAAAACGTATTAAACTTTCAGAAAAATTTGCGCACTGCCTCACAAATTATGCTGGAGTTGAAAAATCAAAAACTCAAAAATTATCATCATCATTTGGATATAATATATAGAGTTGACTGAGAAATTACATGTGGAAATTACGTATGATACGCCAATGACCTCAATATAACCTAAAAAACATCAAATGTCAGGAATTCAGTGTTCATCCCCAGAAATGAATAAAGATGGAACTACATAACTGTTTTACAAACACTTTAGAGTGAGGGAGACGAGGATCTGTCCGTACCTTGTTAAGATGACAAATACGTCAATTTACATCAAGGGACCCTAAACGCCAGTATAATCCTTAAATATCCACACTAACAAGATGAACCATCCCCATGAGAGCAATGAAGCCAGACGTCCTATTCCAAGGTTGGTTGAATTGATGATAATTTTTAGAGGAAGGTTGCCAGGATCAGAGGACGCGGTGAGGGGAAGTAGTAATGCGTGACGTAATCGTATCGAAAATTTCATGTTGGGATCATTGAAACGTGTGTATAATTCTAGCACACAGCTGAATATACTTGAAGACAGTTGTGGAATATAAATTCCCATGACTTCGAAATGGAATTTTCGATTGGATTACGTCACGAATGGCCGAGTGGACTGATAATTAATTATTGGCATTAAATGCCAGTGGACTATTTTTTTTTATTTCCCAAATAGAATCATAGCTCAAATACCTTTCGGTTTCAGAATTTTTCGGAAGATTTTTAGGTGTAAAAACTTCACAAACGATAAGATTTCCACAAAATTCTTGAACTCACATGTTTTGCTAACACAGTAGCTTCGTCAAGTGATATACTGGTACAATGAACTAAACCAACCTTGGATTGCTTAACTTTTATACGAGGGGGAATCGTGTACACCATATTTAATTATCTCGCAATTAAAAAGTACTGTTACTTAAGGTACTGTTAACAGGTACTTACATACTGAAGTACTTAAAACGAGATTCAACGGGGCTACGCTCAAGTTAGGTCAGTTTGTTTGGGAAGATATGATCCTTCCTCATATATTTGAGAAGGAACTAGAAGTTTGTGGTATCAATAAATTCATATAAGCTTCGATTTCCATCTAGCTCCTTCTTCTCAAATATATTAAGAAGGATCATATCTTCACAAACATACTGACCTAACTTGAGCGTAGCCCCGTTGAATTTTCTATCAAATGCTGTTTCTAACAAGTGTATTTTCTATCAAATATTTGTCCTATCAATTGTATTTTCTATCATTTATGTTTCTATCAAATGTATTTTCTATCATAAAACATTCGATCAAATACATTTCTATCAAAAACACTTTCGATCAAAAGACTTCTATCAAATGTTTTTCTATCATTTGTCTTTCGATCAAAGGACCCCGCAAATTTTCAAGGTAATTTGGGTCCCGGTGGATTTTTCTCAACTTTTGGTATGATGTAGTTCATTTGATTCAATTACATATTGGCATTGCGCCAACCCCCAAACATGAACAGTTTTTTTGCTAGGGGGGGGTTGATATCACATTTTGACCGAATTGATCATTTATTTCTGAGAGAATGAACAATATTCTAGAATTTTTTATTTCATCTAATTCCTCCTATGAATATATGCTTTTTGAAAAAAATATAGTGAGGGGGAATTATTACCCCAAACTCCCATTTTGAAAAACGAAAAAAAAAGAGAATTCGCCTAACCGTCAAAAGTGATAGAAAATGTTTCATTACCCAGAATTATGGAAACCGCCTTTTTGTATTATTGCCCCTCACCGAATGGGAGGCGCCCATGATAAAAAAGTTCGGTGGATTTCGCTGAATTTTTGATATGATGTACTCTATATGATACTGATCAGAAAATAATTGGGTGACAATCCTGAAAAATGGGCAGTTTTCCTGCTACAGGGGGTTCAATTCACATTTTGAACACATAAATAGACTAGATGAGTACCTAATTGATTCTGAACTTCTTTTCCAATATATCATCTCCATTCCCTATATTCCCTAACAATTATTCATCAAAAAATATTTTGAGGGGGGGTTCCTACCCCTTCAAAAAGTATTTTGAGAAATATAAAACAAAAATACAGTGCTACATCCTCAGAAATGTAAATATTCTTCTTTATGAATACATCAACTCTAGATTCTAAAGAAAGTCTATGAATGTCATTTACTCCATCACAAATAAAACAAGTTGAATTTCGAGTTTGACTCAGAACATTTAGTCTCAAACATGTTGGATTATTTTCAATTTCTAGCAATTCTTCAGTTATAGATCTGCTGCAATTGATGCACAGGCGGCTATCATCATCCACGTTGATAGGAGGTCTATTCGCGGCATCTCGCCGAATTACTGCTATTTCGCGTTTAATAGCATTTTCTATTCCATCAATTCTTGATAATTGCGCTGGACGAAATAATCGTTCGCAAATGTAACAACTTCTTCTATTCTGGAACGCCATTGGTAATAATCATGGATCACAAACACACAGATTCATGTACCGGGAACACATGCACATTGATAATGTGAACGCAAAGTGAAGTACAATAGGTAGAAATAAATAAAATATAAATAAGAGCAAGTAAGACACAAAATATTATCAATAATTCTACAAAAACTGTCGGAAAAACAATGAATCAGTTTGACAGTTACTAGGATAGGAATTGAAATGATGGTTTTTAACGGGATTTTTAATGATAGTAATAATAATGACTGGGATGGTGAATGTTTGATATTGAAAAGCGGTAACGACAGTAACTTATACCATAGATTTTGATTTCCATTTCATGAAAACGATAGAAATAAACAGGAAATATTTATATCAAGTTCATTGAGTGAAGAATAGTTCTTAAATAAGTGTTGGATATATGAAAAAATAGCTTGAATTTGATATCTATTATTTGTTTGAGAGGTGTTGGGGTGGGCGAAATAATGAGTTTTTTGTGTTGAAAAAAAAAATAGTTAAAATACATATTACATATTCTGTACCCGTCAAGACAAATACACATTCTTCTCGAGGTAATCTCACAAATGAGAAATATGAGTTCAACACGCCCTACCGAAAAAACTGCTCATTTTTGGTAACCGGTACCGATAATCGGAATCGGATTTGATCGGAATCACAAAAAGCACCTCATAGAAATTCAATGGAAATCCATGCACCAAAAATGTTTTTCATGCGCACCCCCCACTTGGTGGAGAGGGAGCAAACATGCAAGAGAGCTTTTGCTATAATTTCACGTACTTAATTATTCTCTTATGCTCTTTAGATACAGTAGCACTGTTTTTTTTTTGTTTTATATTTCTCAAAATACTTTTTGAAGGGGTAGAAACCCCCCCTCAAAATATTTTTTGATGAATAATTGTTAGGAAATATAGGGAATGGAGATGATATATTGAAAATAAGTTCAGAATCAAATAGGTACTCATCTGGTTTATTTATGTGTTCAAAATGTGAATTGAATCCCCTGTAGCAGGAAAACTGTCCATTTTTCAGGATTGTCACCCAATTATTTTCTGATCAGTATCATATAGAGTACATCATATCAAAAATTCAGCGAAATCCACCGAACTTTTTTTATCATGGGCGCCTCCCATTCGGTGAGGGGCAATAATACAAAAAGGCGGTTTTCATAATTCTGGGTAATGAAACATTTTCTATCACTTTTGACGGTTAGGCGAATTCTCTTTTTTTTCGTTTTTCAAAATGGGAGTTTGGGGTAATAATTCCCCCTCACTATATTTTTTTCAAAAAGCATATATTCATAGGAGAAATTAGATGAAATAAAAAATTCTAGAATATTGTCCATTCTCTCAGAAATAAATGATCAATTCGGTCAAAATGTGATATCAACCCCCCCCTAGCAAAAAAACTGTTCATTTTTGGGGGTTGGCGCAATGCCAATATGTAATTGAATCAAATGAACTACATCATACCAAAAATTGAGAAAAATCCACCGGGACCCAAATTACCTTGAAAATTTGCGGGGTCCTTTCCGCCACCCATGTAAATAGTGGATAATATTTATTAACACTAGAGGACATTCGAAGCGGTGAACGCGACAACACCCCGACTTGTGAGCGTGGTCTTGTCCCTTCTCAGCATTCAGCACAATGTTGCCAAGTATCCAACAAGTACATAAAATTTCGTTATGGAGTATTAGAAACATTTGGAAATGCTGGTTGCTCGAGAGAGTCAAGAATGAACTATAATATCATGGGTTCCTCCTATTGTGTTATTCAACGACAGGTCTCTTACATCTTTTTGATAACTTGATTATAATTGGTGACTTGACAACCTTGCTTCGTGAGTGGGAATGGAAGAGTACCTGACCAATAACGGAAGAGCATTTGGCAATACGTCGGCAATACGTCGAATAAATGGTGACGTCCTATCATTTTATACTTATTTTTTCTTTAAATATGAAAATAATGAATTTTGAATCACTTATTTACATTGGTTTTCTCTATTCGCCAAAAATATTTGTTGTCTAAAAAAGCCCCTAAATCAGTTTTCTGTTTAAGTATTACTACTGACTTCCTAAACATATATTTTTTATGTTGGTAATAGGCTAGCCTGAGTAACGCTTTTGTTTACCTCGCACTTACACAATGAATGTAAAGACTTGGTTTTTAGTAAACGTCCTATTATTGAATTTCCTAATGAGTTATCTACTTTGGCGACTTGTATTCACAGCAATTTATAATTTGATTTAAATCACGATTCAAATTGAAAAAAATCAGTTGATTTCAATCATGATTTGAATCACGATTTTAATCATTTGATTTAAATCGTCGCAACCCTGTTGCAGATAGATATAGATTTGAGCAGAGTTTCGCCAGCACCGCCTACGAACCAGCCAAGAACTAAGACCAAATTTGGCTTCAACATTTTATAAGGAGGTGGATCATTTTGTTAGTGTAAATAATCAAGGGTATAATATGATTAACATTCAAATATTCTCATACAATCTAAGTAGATTTTCAAAGTGTCACTATACCTCTCTGAAAACCATTCTTTGTCCAGGCGTCATGTACTCAGGGTGTTTGATAAATCTGAAATGGATCAATGCCTTGTCGCCAGTTCTCAGACAATCTTTTGACATGCTGATAATGCTGGCAGTTTGTCTGATGCTTCCACAATGAACTGAAAAATGAAAAAGCAACAATAGTTTCTTTATTCCAGCTAGATTTCCCAAAGAAATGCTGCTACTTGATATGTCTCAAGTAATATAACACACCGGCCGTTTATTGGTAGGTGAGAAATGAACAGCGTTGCCGTCTCAGTTGATTCATTCAGCTAGTTGAATGTAATTGACAAAGAGAGCTAGTAGTGAAAAAGTTTTTTTTAAGCTGAGTTTGCCTTACCCATCGCTTGGTAACGTGAACTAATTGTGGTAGGATGGTGCAGAACCAAAATTTCACCTTCAAACTCCCAACAAGCTTGGGGATTCAGAGATGGGGACACCATCACCATCCCTTTACGAATTTGAGACCGTTTTATCTGTGAAAAATAAATCTCAAGTTTCATTCAGGCATGATTTATTTTCAATATTACCTTTTTCAAAGCGAAACTGGCTGTTTGTCCCGCTCGGACCTCTTTGACGGACATCCTCTTCCTGTGGATACTCTTCACGGCAATCTGCTGGAAGTTGCCCAAGGGATCGGGCCCCAACATTAGGATGTCGTTCAGTTTGATGACGCCTTTCAGCGTTGTCCCCGAAACAACAGTTCCCACACCCTAAAGTAAATATTATCATTTGTCCTCAGGGTTCCAATGTTTTCCATTGGGAAACGAAAAAACTCCAACGGTGGGTAGAGCTCGTCAAGGTGGATCTGAATATACCATATTGATGGATTGTCTTCATCACCCCACGGAACATTATTGTTTATAATAGGGAAATATACAACAAAACATACATATAACATAATAAATCGAAACAATAATAATTGCACAATTATTGTTTTTCAAAAAAAAAAATTATAATAAAATTTAAAATGAAAATATTATAACCCATTTCGAGTAATCAAATTGTGAATGATTAGTAGATATGGAATTTAAGTTTACTGAGCAGATATTTCTTCACATTGATTTTAAATTTGTCTGCTTCTTCTATATTTTTCAACTCATTAGGTAAAGAGTTATATAAAATGATTCCATTATTAAATATTGATTGTTTACTAAAATTTGACTTATAATCATTTGCTATCAATAAATTAAATTGCCTTGTTTCATGGGCGTGAATCGTATTAACTTCATTAAAATTCAAATTTGATATTTTCCATTCCTTCCTGACAAAATGAATGAAACAAAAAAATTGGAGTTTATATATTTAAACTAGATTCAGCAAGTCTTTAGGTTTGTATAGATTTCCAGTTGATTCTAAAATCCGCTTACATATTTGGAAAGTTCACAAAAATCTGAATTGAATGGTGTTCTCTTTATTTTCCCGCATGCTATTCGACGAAAGAATTTCTGATTTTGAGGTTTCATGCATTTGGATAGGTAAAAGTGAAATATTTTGAGTTTTTCCATTCGAATAACGAAAATCATCACCAACCACCATAAATTCTTTTGGAATTTGGTATCCAAGTCCAAGACCTTCCCTTCTACTCAAGTGACTCACCTATGAGTCACGAGTAAAATCCAGGTCCGGATTAACGAAAATTGATCATATTCTGGGCCCCAAAACAACACCAAGTATATGCGAATTTCAAAAATTGAGGAAATAATTTTTTTTCAGCGGTTATATGTCGTTATATCGGCTTATTAGAAGATTTTTCTCCACAAATACATGAATAGGTAAACTCAATAGAAATTTGGAAAAAGTTACAAGAGCATGAGATGAAATAAAAAGTACACTATTTGATTCAGCTTCTTGTGCACTTTTCAAATATGTAAGCGGATTTTGGAAATTCGAAAATACAGGGTGTTCTTTTTGGGGTCCAGAAATATGATCAATTTTCGTTAATCCGGACCTGGATTTTTCTCGTGACTGATAGGTGCGTCGCTTGGGTAGAAGAAAAAGGAATTGTGTACCATATTACCATGTACCAAGAGGATATACTGGGTGTCTCACAAGTTATGTTGTCAAAATGAATTGAACAAAATTGACAAAACACCCGGCCATAAAATTTGTAAGATCTTACAAATATTGTATATTCAGAACCAACTGGATGAGCTCTACCCAGCGTTGAAATTTTATCGTTTCCCAATAGGACACCCTTTATAATAAAATTTTTATGTTGGTAACAAAAAGAATGAGAAGAATTGAAGAAAAATACCATACCATGGGTTGCGTGCAAGATCTGTCAGATAACCCACGCTGGAGGCAAAACATTGAAACAGAACGTCACTTTTCTTATTTGTTTACAAGTGATCCAAATAGTTTTTCACAATTATTTTGGCATACGAATCGTATTTTTCCGCTATTCATCAATTCGCTCATGCCATCACATTATGCTGTTGTGAAATGCACAAAAACTGCAGCGGAAGACGAAGTAATCCGATTGGTACAATATGATTTAAAAGTAAGTACCTACTATAGTCACTCACATATAGTTTTCATTTTTGAAATTTGGTAATTTCTCTGATTTCTCATCGGAATTCCTTCTGCGATAGGAGCTAATAGAAATACACCTGAAATTTCTAAAATAATGCCGAAGATTGGATTCATGCAATCAATCGGGAGGACTGGTCTGACATGCTGACGATCGTGTGTGTTGTAGACATTTTCAATCTATTAGCAGTATTAGCTTGTATTGCAGAAGGCAGAAGGAATTTTAATAAGGAATGACAACACATGAGATTACTATTTACCTGAAAAATCATATTCTTTAGTCTCTTGCTGCATTTTTTGTGCATTGTACAACAGCACAATGCAAAGGCATGCTCGAATTAATGAATAGCGCAAAAAACACGATTCCAATGCCAAAATATTGTGAAAAACTATTTCAATCCTTTGATTCCTTTGTAACCAAATAAAAAAGTGAGGTTGTATTTCAATAATTCACAGAAGAATGAGGTTGTGTTTCAATATTTTGCCTCCAGGGTCGGTCATCGTGCACGCGACCTATTGAGATTAGAAATTCGTGCCGAGAAGTTTGAATCTCAAAGCTTTGCCTCCGATAAACAAAATGCAGGAAGCACATGAAATACAGTACAAAATGTTGCTATTACTTACGGGAACAGAATATGTGTCGTCGATTTGAAACTCGGCTGGTTCATTCTCATGATATTCCATCCTTGTAGTGAGCAAGTTGAGGAATGTTTTCAGCAGCGGCAAATTTTCACCAGATACGTTAGATACTTGAAATATAGGACACAATCTAAAAAATATTCGAATATTGATTCACTTTAGGAAAGATGAACATTTCTTAAATTAATTAAAAATTAAACTGCCAGGTGAGAGTTCATGTAAATTGATGAAAAATTATTGGATTTCAAGTACGTTATAAATACCGCGTGACATGGAATTATTTGACAGGGTGTTATTCAATTGATTTTCATGTTAGACTTTTGACATTCAGATTCCAGAGAACTTTAAATCACCTTAAAACCATATACGTAATAATGAACAATACGGATCATAACGGGTGCCAGGATGAAGCCAAAAATATTTGTTCTAAAATTTGTTCTAGTATGAAACAAATGAATATCCATAAGGATTTGGTGGCATGATACGCATGCGCTATTATAGTAGTCATCAAAGACATGCGTTTCGGTGGACAATGACGTTTACTAGCCTTTCAATCAAAGCAGTATGTGTCTGATCGTTTCAAAAGGTCATGACATTCTGTTGTTTTTGTTTACGTTTCGCGAATTTCGCGGACATGGTTCATTTATGCTATTTTTAAATTGAAAAGCGAGTACCTACTGAGGCAATGGGATAATGAAAATGAGATGAACATATCATAGGGAAACCAAAAGTAAGTATTAGCATTTGATATTCTCAAGGGTCTTTTGTAACACTTCATCATTTGAAAAACTTACCTACCAAGATAATGAAGACCTGTGGACAAAATAATAAATGATTCCATTCTTTCAGAATTTATATTTTCACTAGCATGTCCTGTATCATTCATAATCATTAAATCATCCTGAAATAATGAATTATATCCCGAAAATCCCAATAATAAAACATAAACATAGTCCATAAATGTCATGTCACTCATGTCAAAATATTCAAAATAATGAGTTAGGTTAGAATGAATGAGAATGATTGGCATTTGAACTTGCGTATTTGATCATGCGCAGTATCTCACTTTTCCTTATGGATAGTCATTTTTCTTCAAAAATCGGCTTCATGTTTCGCTATGGAAACAGATAGAGATTATCCGTATTGATTATTAATACGTATATGCTTAAAACCCACATTTCCCATGCAAAAACAATGGAATAGGCGGATTTCATTTATTCCTTAAAAATAACCATCACTCAAATTCCTTTAAATTTCATACTTTTTTAGAATTTTCGGTCGATTTTTAAGTGCTAAAATCATCAATAATGCCACGGTAATTTTCAAATGGCTAGAAATTTACCGCAAGTAAAAATTGACGTCACGATTTCGTGAGTAGGGGCAGACCATAGCACAGTTGCCATGACTTGAAATACGATTAGGAACTTCAGAAATATTAGTTATTCAATAATTCATAAATTCTCAATTACATATTGGTAATATTCCTAGTTAGCAATATAAAATCAATCGTCTCATAATATTCCCTTATGATCTGTGGCTTACTGCTTATAATAAATTTGTGTAAATAATAATTATATCAATTCACACTAGAGGACATTTGAAGCGGTAAACGTGACAACACGGCGCAAGAATTGTGGGCGTGGTCTTGTTGGTTCTCAGCATTAAGCACAATGTTGCCGAGTATCCTACATGCACATGATATTTTGTTAAAGAGAACAAGAAATATTTGGACATGCAAGTTGCTCCAAAAAGTAAATTCACTATAATATCATGGGTTCCTCCTATTATCTTTTATTCAACGACAGGAATCGTAATATCAATTTGATAGCTTGATTATAAATGGTGACTCGACAACCTTGTTTCATGAGTGGAAATGGAATATTATCTGACCAATAAGGAAATAGCATAAATTCGACGTATCGCCGTATCGCCAAATGGCGGCCATGACGGTACGTTTGAAATGAACTCTGAAATTCAACAATTCTAAACAACGCAAGACACGTTAGATAACTCAAGAGTAAAATCTCATCCGGATGTTATGCAGTGAGAATGGTTTCTAATGAGTTGGGTTTTCACACAGCAAAAACGGCTTACTGCGCTTTAATTGACTCCCAAATAAGATATGGAATACCTTTTTGGGGAACATGCAGTGCAACCCTTCTCTCTTCTGTGTTGATATTACAGAAAAGGGCTGTAAGGTGTCTCTGTAAGGTCAAACCTAGGGATTCATGCAGGAATTATTTTGCTGCCAATAAGATTTTAACTGTCGTTGCACTGTTTATTCTTGAAACTGTATGCCTGGTATACAAACACAAAACGGAGTTTGACTTTGTTTCTTTTCCGTATGCTACTCGTAAAAGCATATTTAATATCAGACTTCCCATACCCAACTCAACATTAATCAAGGATTCCATTTTTTATAATGGTGGAAAGCTTTTCAATCACTTACCAGTAGATATAAGATCTGCAAATCTGACCAAAGTGCATTTTAGGAAAGCAGTGAGAAATTTGCTAGTTGTTGATAGACCCTTTTATAGCCTACAAGAGTATTTTAATGAATCATTTTGAAAATATGTGTAATCTATTTTACTTTTATTGTATTTGTACTTGATTTATTCTAAAATTTTTTGTTACTTATCTGTTCATATCTATACACTATTAGTTATGTTTATATTTATATGTACATACAAACCTTTGTCAATGGGATGCAAAATCTTCTAACAATAAAGAATATTTGAATTTGAAAAAACTCAATATTTACATAAAAAAGCGTGAGAAGTGTTACAAAAATTAATTCAGATCCCTAACGACACAGTGGAGTAATTGGTTTTACCGGAAATCGACCTAGGTCGAGAATTTTAAATGGAATCCTGTAGATACTTTTACGCCATTTGGTAGATTGAGAACATCTCTTTTCAATGATAAATCACAAGTTCTTTTCATCTCATGAATCGCCCGAAAGGGAATTTAAATAATGTTCGAAGAACATCGTGAGTACCTAGGGAGGATAGATGTTGGATTTTTTTTTTCAACTTTTGGAGGTTATTAGTTCTTGGAAATTCTTCCATTGAAAAATAATTCCAAAGCTTTGCCGTTCTATATACGAACGAGTTTTGGTATTGTGTTGTTCCACATAATTATTTCAAGGCGACGCAGGAGACTTCCTGAAATCAATATGTCGAATCTGTGATCGATCGAATTTTCGTCAGGGAACCTATTAAAATAGCAAATAGGCGAAGCTCTTCAATTATTACTTTTTTCATGGGAAATCTGGGTTTCAAGGAACTATTTCCTCGATCCAAATGTCAAAAGTCAAAAATGAAAAATGATTTCCTTGTCAACTGGTATGTAATGATCTGAACTGTATGCTTTAACAAAAACATATTCTTTAGAACAACTGTACAGATAAGAGACTGAAAATTTCATAAAATATCATAAATGAAAAATTGAAATCTCATATCATTTTGACAAGAAATTTTGAAATTCTGTCATCAAACTAGACAATATAACTTATTTCCCTTCATGCTGCTAGTTCTACCCTCGGACAAAAAAGATTCACTCATGCAGCCTTATCTGAGTTCAATAAAGTACCAGATGAAATTAAAAACTGCAGGAACAGGAATATTGGCACATTTAAAAAGATTGTAAAAAAAAAACTGGCAATTTCTGATAGAAATGTTTAAAATGTATCAGTAAGTTATGTCCTTGACTAGAATTCTTTTCTTTGTTCATTGATTGTTTTGTTTTATTGTGATTTATTGTGATATCCTGATTTATTATGATTTATTATTAATGTTCACTTCTACACATGTTTGTGTAGTAGTTGATAGATATTTATCACTTATTATTTCATAATTATGTTCTTCCACATACCAGAACTTGTTGACTTGTTCTGACTGGAAGATGTCTGATATATAAATGAATAAAATAAATAAATAAAAGTGCACTTGTAACCACTCTTATGAGAGATCAAAGTGCCACCGTTGATTCTTTGGGGATTTTTTCTACCTTTCTGACACAAAGTTGGTAGCGCTCAGAACTACGTCGTCTGCCGTTTTGACCATGACCGGCACCTTCCGACATCCCTGCGACTTCAGTATTCTCACCAGCATTTTGAGGTTTTCTTGCAGCACATTGGCCGGACACATGTCGATTTTGGTTACGACCACGAACACCGGTACCGAGAGGGCCAATGCCAGTCCGAGATGCTCCTTGGTCATACCGATTATTCCAGCGTTCGCCCCGACCTGATAGAATTCTAAAGTGATTCTTCAACAAAAAAATGAAACAAAATATAAAGGACCACGCACACATTATAGAGGAAAATGTCTTTCGGTAAAAATGGCTGAAAATTTGATATGTTGTAGCTGAAGTCATTTTCAAGTAAATCTCCACTGGCACAACTCGATCGTATGACCAGATTCGGCGCTAGAGGGTGGAACATCATGAATTTTGTGTATTTTTGAGTCAAGACAGTCCAGATATTTAGCCGTCATTGGCTGAACAGCTATGAGTCAAACCAATTGTACAGCAGCGTGCCACGTTACTATATGTAGTTGGACCTGTTGGGCTTGAATTGTACACCACCTTCCAATATGTTGATGGAAATGGAGTAGAACTGACAGATGATCAATTGACCGTGAAAGTGATATTAGACTCCATAAGTGATCACTACAGACCATACCTCAACTGCACCTATGAAAACAAGAACCAAACCAGACACTGGATGACTTTGTAACGTGTCTTTGAATCCTAGCAAAGAACTGTGAATTAGGTGGCCTCTCAGGTGATTTGATAACACATTGTCTGATAATCGGTTGCAAGGATGACAAATTGAAAGGCAAGCTCCTCAAAGTTCCAAATTTGACCCTCACTAATGCCTTGGATATTGGTAGGGCTGAAGAAACATGCAATAAGCACATTATGGGCATGAATTCCCAGGCTTTAGTTGCGGTCCAGCAAGATACTGAAGTTAATCGTATCAGCTTCGGGAAGAAAAATTACCAACATCCTACCAGGAGAAAATGCCAAAGGTGCCTGTCTAGCCACAGAACAAGAAGTTGCCCGGCTTGGGGAAAAACTTGCAGTAAATGTAACAGGAGGAACCACTTTGCAGCAGCCTGCCGCTCGAATAAGGTAGATGAAGTAGAAGAAGAAGAAAACTCCCAGGAAGATGAATTAAGTGACAAGGAAAATGATTACTTCGTAGCTGAAGTCAAAGAAAAATACCAGATAAATGGGCAAAAAAGTAATAATTACTGGCATGAACTTGTGACAATCAACAATACTAAGTTGAAATTCAAAATGGACAGTGGCTCTCAAGCTAACCTAATCCCAGCACACTTATTTAACAAATTGAAGAATAAACCTGCAGTCAGACCATCGAGGAAGAGGTTATGTAGTTATACCAATAACACAATTCCTATACTAGGGGCAGTAGAATTAATCACAAAATTGGGAAATAAGACACTCATGCTAAAATATTTCATAACATCAGAAAACCGCACTCCATTATTATCATTCAGTGCTATGGACTCTTTTGGGTTGATAAAGAGAATTCAACACATTACAGTAGCCAAATCAAAAGCTGAAGACATCATTCACAAATATGAAGACGTGTTTCTGGGACTAGGAAAACTAAAAATGACATACAAAATCAAACTCCTTGACAATGCTATGCCCAGTGTAAGTTGTTCCAGGAAAATACCCAATGCATTGAAGTTCCTGGTAAAAGCAGAATTAGTGAGAATGACAAAAGATGGTGTCTTGAAACCCATAGAAGAACCAACAGATTGGGTACATCCAATCGTTGTATCGAAAAGGAACAATGGCAAAATTCGAATTTGCATGGACCCAAGAAGGCTAAATATGTTCATAAAACGAGAACACTATCAACTGCCAGTAGCTGGAGACATTCTGGCAGAAATCGGAAACTCAAAAGTCTTCATTGTTTTAGATGCATCCAACGCTTTCCTGCAAATACCCCTAGATGCAGTAACGGCAACGGGCCATCAATCAGATTCTAAATGGAATAGAAGGTGTTCACACATATATGGATGATGTCCTCATAAATGGACCCACATTGGTAGAACATGACAAGAGATTACAAAAAGTATTGGAACGAGCAAGAACTAATAACCTCAAATTCAATAAAAGCAAAACCCAACCAAGATTCAGAATTCTGATCACCCTGTATCTTTTCCAATTAAATGTCAGTAGATAGTGGATTGAAAGTTGAGATAGGGACATGTAAACCGTTTTGATCGATAATGAATAGTTTCGACAAAAAAAATCACAAAATTGAAAAATCTCGATTTTGATCACCCTATATCTCTGTAATCATTTCTGCTTGACCCCAAGTATGATACATCAATGAAATCAGCTCCTCAGGAAGAATCTAAAAATGCAATAAAATACAGGGTGTTCCATTGGAAATAACGAAGTTGCTAGTTGTTTCTGATAGAAGTGGCAACACTGTATCGATGAAAACATTTTAGACGAATAGAGAATGTTCAATTATCAAAGCTTCTCAATTTTCAGAAGGTTCTGTCCTTTCATTCTTTAGATACTTCTAATAGGCCATCCACCGTGACCCAGCCTGTATATCCGGTAACAAAGTATTCACTTTTGTCCCTTGGGAAAAAGTAATTTATGAATAGTGACATTTTATAACCTGTCAACAGAGATGAAATGTCATACTTTTTTCCCCGTCAATATAATCTAAGAAATAGAAATCAACTATGAGAAAATTTAGCTCTACAAAAAACTCACCATTAGCATGCCAAAATCAGGTGCATGACCAGTCATTCCAAACACTGTAGTTTTCAGGTATCTCTCATGCCCTGCCAAGTCAATGAAAGTGATAACTTTGGAACTTCTTTCACATATTTTCACCCAGTCCAATGACCCATGTTCCGGTTTGTTCACAACATTACCTGAAAAAAGACAGCAAGGTTGTACCACTAAACAAAAAATTCGATAGGAAGAAATGTGCCCTCACGTTTGTCAAAGATCTTTGAGATCAGTTTCCTAAACCGTCTTATGAACTCCCTGACGAATGAAAAAATTCACGAACATTCAAACATGGCTTCCTTTCAAAAAGATCTACAAATAGTGCAGTTATATCATACTACCAGAAATTGCTGGAAATGATTGAGGCTGGCGAATGTCATGCTGGGATATTTTCTGATCTCAGCAGGGCATTTGATTGTGTTAATCACAGTAAACTCTTAAGGGGTACCACAAGGATGTACACTGGGCCCCATGTTGTTTTTACTCTGTGTGAATGAACTTGGTATTATCATGGATGAAAATCTTGATTGGAAACGTCATTGTCAAAAAATATTAAGTAAAATGAATTCTTTGTGTTATATGTTCAGGAAACTCAAACCAGTTCTGCAGCAAAAACGGTTACTCATCATATATCATAGCTCAGCAGCATCAACTTTGCGATACGGTGTTTGTTTGTGGGTAAACTCAACATTGTCCAATAATATCTTCATCAAAATTATGAGTTTTGACACTCGATCCTTATTAATAATGGAACTCTCTTGTACATTATTGACTACAAGATGAACTTCAAACAAATAAACAATATTCATTCAATACAAACAAGACGAAAAAATTATTACTATGTACCATACTGTTAATATAATATGCCAGCACTCTTCTTTTTACCTAGGTTTGCAAATATTCAATAAACTCCCATGTGGAATAAAATATACCATAAATAACTGAAAGAAATTCAAACAAAATTTACAGTTTATATACATTGTCAGAGTTCATCAAATATGTGTTTATATGTTTAGTTTGTAGGTTTTATGCTGGTGAACATTGTGAAATATTCACTATTCTTATACAAATTTTTATTTGTGGAAAAGAAAATAAGGTCACTACTACTACTTCCTCATCTGAAAATATTCTTCATCATTTTTTATAGAAAAGTTTCTTTTTACATCATGTTTAATGTACAAAAAGTTACCTTGTTCATCAAACCCTAGGATGTCATTCCCAACAGAACTTGTTCTTCCAGACTCCATTTCATGCTTGTGCCTGAACAGCCTCTGCCTGGCATGCCCTCTACCATTGTCTAGTTCTCCATGTGTCAGAACACCCAGTAATGTAGATTTTCCAGCATCTACATTTCCAACCACTGCCACACGAATTTCCAGAAAATCTACAAAAATCAATCAGTAGGTACCTGGTGACATGTTATTAGGTACCAATAAAAATTATGAGTTCTGTGGTACCATCCCCTGTAACTCTTATTTTTGACAGTAGAAAAAAAAATAAAAGAACAGACTCACAGGGGATTTTATTTCCTTACCTAAACACAAGATAAATTTTTACTATCTGTGAAGATATAGAGGGAACAGGAAAAAGTGTTTGCATTTTAAATAGAACTCCCTATATATGTCTTCATAACAGAACATGACCAATAATTTTTTAATGACAATGATTGCTAATCCTGACATTCAATTCTTATTGGCGGTGATGAAAATCAATATTGTAATCATTGACAAGGCCAACTTTCAAAAATCATTCAAAATCCATCAAACTTTGTTAGTTTTGAAAGCCAATGAATTGAGAAATACAAAAGAAAAATATATTGAGTATGGTATCTATGGAATGCTCTTCAAAAAATCTTTCCAATGGTGAGGAAATATATTGGGTGTTCTATTTGACATTCTTACACTTTTTCCTGCTTTCCCTAAATTTTTTCAGATGATGAAAATGTATCTGTTGATTCCAGAAGAAAAAAATCCCTAGTAAGGCTATTTTTCTTTTCTTTTTTTTTCGACTGTTAAAAATAAAAGAGTAAGAAAAAGGTACTTTATAACGTGTCACTGGTTTTTTTTTTATTTACATATATGCGCATCAACCATTGTGGTTAGCACAGGACAAAACAACAGGTACAGTATCATCAGATTACACTAATAATATTTTCTCAAATCTTATCAGCTATGTCGATGTTCGATAAAAAATTCGTCCAGCAGGTTCACTTCACTGAAATCGTGTCCGAGGATTTTACGAATGTCTGTGGATATGTTCTTCTTCTCCTCTTCTCTTTTGGTTTATTGAATTTCTGTCTCCTTTCGGTAACAATTTCTCCAGATCAGGTAATTAATTTTTTTCAAGAATAAATACTTGGTTATGTAATGATATTATCACTCCACTCGCCACATAAGACACCGGTTGTCTATCACAATGGCCTGAATCCGAGTCATCAGTGTTCATAAGATTCGAACGCATGTACTTATCCAGCAAATCCGTTGCTGATCCGGCCTGGTTACCGGCGTAGAGATCATGGAGCACGTTTGACTTCAAGTATGGCCCCCTTATCCGATGAATCCGCCATCATTCCGCCTCTATTCCGGTGCAGAGATTAAACAGCCTGATATTTCTCCTCACACACTTTTTAAACTTCACATTAAATATTGGATTTCAATCCAGATATATATCGAAGATACCATGATTAGTGACCATGCTTTCATCAGTCCAGATGATTGTTCACGGGAAATCTGCAAAATTTTGACATTTCCTGGTAAACCACCCACAGAATGTCCTGCGCCTCTCGTCATCGCCTGGTTTTAGCGGTTGACATATAATTTTTGTTTCCGCAAAATGAAATGGGTTGTTGATTGAAACCAGTTGATGAGGTATTAGTGTGTTGACTAATTTTTCTCCAAAATAAGTGGAACTGATGGCATTTTTCCTTTGGAGTTTCGAAAAAACATTGATGATGGTTAAAAATAGGTCGAAACACACATAAACCACCTTGTATAATACATGGTTGAATTAAAAATGAAAAAACCTTTCAGAATCTGTGAAAAAATTATCAGGACCGTATTTAAAAAACAAAAATTGATGATGGTTCTACGAATACGAAACGTCGCATAGAAAAATTGGTATCACCACGTTAAACGCCATCAAAAGTTGCTATGCAAAAGTATTTTCAGTTTTTCTGTATCTCTAATAATAACGGAGAAAAAAAAATAAAATAGATATTCCAAAAATTCACTTTTTTCGATATAACTAAAAAACTAAAAATAATTTTAAAAATTTTCGAAGGCTCCTGATATGAGCCATGAGCCTCCGAATGCGCAACTTTTTCCCCATTTAACCGACTTCGTATCTCCTACAGTTTTCGAGATCTCCATGCTGTTCAACCTTATCTTGGACAGACTGTATACCTCTGTTATTAGGCAGTTTATTTCTTATGTTCTTTTTTATTTGTCATGTATTTATGTCGATCATTTTCACTATTCCTACCTGGTTTTTATAAACTCAAATCTTATTAAGTACCCATGAAACTGTATTTTGTGATACTTGAGTATTTTCAAAGTGAGAATATGATTATTTTTTCATGAGAATGTTCGTTGTGTTTGTTTCTATTTTGTTGGAAATTGATTACTTTTCTGTTTACTAAAAGTACATAATTTTTTTATGTCATGGGTTCATGTCATTAGCGTTTCTTGGAATTTGTATAGCATGAAATTGATCTTAAATTGATCTCCTGAAATCTACTGAATTTTGGACAAGCTATTTACTGATGAAATAAAATTCAAACTGGCAACCCTGGTCCGCTGTGTAGGAGAGCAGAGAGTGAGTTGATGATTCACAAAATCTGATAGATTTCATATGTGAATAGGAACATGGTGTGAATATAGGTGTTTGAGGTCAAAGAAAAAATTGATAATACACCTCAGCCAAAAACGATCAGTTTGCAGGCTCCACTATAATAGATAGTTTCTCTTCCTTGGTACATGAATAGCTATTTTGATTGACTGATATGGTATGGTTTTCATGATGTCCACACTGGTCATATTGAAAACTGATAAAGATATTGGGAACTCCAAATCAAAATCTTGAATGTGGTATTGATTTCTTCTGAATGGTGCTGTTCAAACTTTATTTTCCATCAATATGAAAAACTAGTTTAAATGAAAGATCTACAAATTGAAAGTATTTCTCAAATGAGGTATTTGCTGTGGTTGAACGACCAGACATTTTTTAGCTTAAATTATCTGATTTCAGCTCAGCCATACCATATAGTTTGAATCAGATGATTCTCTTGACAGAAATTTCACAAATTACAAATTTTGAATCACATGATGAAATATGTGAACTTATAAATTTATTGACCAGAAAAAATGTTTTCATGTGAAACATAATATGGGGTATTTGATTTTACAGAACAACACTTTCTCAATCCCTTTATATAAAATTGAACTTTCAATAACTTTGTTGATTTTCATCAATTGTCAGGATATATCTCATGGTAAAATTGTAATAATCTTGTACAGTTCAATATTGATAAAAAATAATTACCAGACTGATCAAGTACCCTTCGAATCAAATACTGAATGATTACACCATGTGTCTCTTTGCGTTCTCTCAACTTAACACAGCTACATTCTAATGTAGTTGCTAGTGACTGCAGTGTTGCCACAGCTGCTTCCAGTTCATTATCTTGTAGCCCATTTTCACTACCATCTTCAGAACCACCAATCTAGAACAAAAAAATATTAAAAAGAGGAACCTACATGAAAAAAAAAACTACCTCTAAGATAACTTCTCCTCTTCCTTCACCTAACTGTTGGGTTAGTCTCCTTAGAAGCAACTCATACTGCTCCTCAGAGGGTGCTACTAGTACATTTCCTCCCAATATTTTATCATACTCTGAGGGACACTGGGATTTGTCAACAAAGGAACTCAAAGATTCCCTGTTTTCAGTCATTATCAATTTGCCCAATCTGGTTCAATATTGAAAATCAAACTGGATTACAATAAAATCAAGAACTCATTAATACAAAATGTAGAAATGTGTAGTAAAGGCATTGGATTATCTGTAGTGACTGTAGTGTAGCCTAATTCAATGACATCTGTAATAAAAATATCCATATTTAGTAATTGGGAATTATTTCAGTGAATGAGAGGAATTGCATATTATTGCATCACATCTTTATCATGTTTCTGTGCTGTCAGATGATTTCTACATATCTTCATAATATGCTTGTCCCCTCAGATTGTACTTGCATTTGCTAACTCCAGATTATTAGCATTATGTTGGGAGCTTTCAAGAAAGTTCAAACGATTTTTACAATAGTTTTTAAAACTTAACTAAACCTAAACCTCATACCAGTTATACCAGAAGAACTTGTTTCACATAGGTATGTTTAAAATCTTAACATTTGACAAATATGTGGAACAGGTGATGAATTGATATTTCAATGCTATATGCAGGAATACATTGAAATTATTGAAATATATTAACAATTTTGATATATTCATAATCCTACATGACTAGAATACCTATCACATATGGTGCCAATCTGCCAATTATTGACTGGAGGTAACTCTTATTCTTTGAATCTGAAACATGTTCTTCACCACACTAATTACTCAATAATACAATTAATACAAACGAATGCATTTTGAAAGAATAAAAGTAAATATTTATATTTACCCACTTCTATTTACCACTCGAATTTTCGTAATCAAATATTTTTCAAGTCCAACTTGTGTCATCTCATTTGATGTCAACATCACTGTCAGAAGTGTCAGATCAGGAAATAACAGGTTACATCTTCTCGAACTTATCTGACAATTCCTCCAGCCATTTGATCCGTTGACCTTTGAGCCCAGTAGAACTCAACTGAGACGGTCACTCACCATCGATAGAATGACAGTAATGGCACAGGACAGCAATTACTAAGTAAAGTAAAGACAGGATTGACAGCCTGTTCTGCTGTTTGTTGTTTTATGTTTTATGAATTAATTGATTGATGGTGTATGGAAGTTTCGGTGAAGCGTTTTTATTATTAGAATAATTTTCAGTTTTTAGTTGTTTTCCATATGTATATTATGTTTTAAAAGTGTTTCAAAATGGAGATACCTCAGCCGCCTCCAGGTGAGCACGACGTGTCCAGTTTTTCGAAAGTGTCTTAAAATAGGTTATGTTTTGTAGATGTAGAATTGAGGAATATAATCGACAAATTAGCCCAATTCGTTGCTAGAAATGGCCCAGAATTCGAGCAGATGACTAAAAACAAACAGAAGGGTAATCCGAAATTTCAATTTCTGTATGGTGGTGAGAATTTCGCCTATTATCAGTACAAAGTTTCAACAGAACAAGCCAGTAAGTTATTGACCCAACTTCTTTGAACACATTTCATGAGTACTGTGTACTATGTTTTCCAGTATTCAAACAACAGCAACAGCAAGGTAATATTGTGAGTGACCAAAACAGCAATTGGAATACCCCTCCTCCTCCTCCAATGCAGAACACTGCAGAAATTGAACAGATAAGCAAACAGCAGGATACCTTGAGAGAGCAAATCAAACAGAGTGAACATAATTTAACAGCTCAACACACAGTTCTCATCCAACAGCAACAGGCACAGGTTGAACAAACAGTAACCAAATGTGAAGCCATAGATTTGCAAAAAGAGGCTGATAGATGTGAAATATCACTCACTGAGGTTTACAGTATCCTACAGCCTATAATAGACAGTTGTACAAAAGATAGTATAAGTAATGGGAAATCTTGGTTTCTACAGCATGCCACAAACAAACAAAAAGCTTGTTGTATTGTTGAGTGTTTATTATACAAGTGAGTAACTTCTGAAGGTTTCTAATGAAAATGTTGATTATTGGATTATAGTCTTACTTGGGAGTGCTTGGGACTATTCTACAATGGTTCTCTTAAATTCAACTTCCAAAATAGCTGAACAGGATCACAACAATTATTCAAGAATAGTTTTTGAAATCCCTGGCACATACTATTTGAGTTGAGTCATAAGAAGATCCTCTACTTAAAACAGAATAATCTTCATAGGAATGTTTACTGAAATTCAATAGTTTTCATCAATTTCCCAATTATTTAACCATGTATATATAATGAGTGTGATCTATCTTATATTTTTATTTTGTTGCTTGTATTCATTGTACTCAAAGCAGCATGAATTACAATAACTTGAGAGACACTACTATAGCCTTGAAAACTACACTCACCATAAAAAACCAACCACCAAAAAATCTGCCCAATCCTGTAACTTTTTCAATCCTTGTCCTATTTTTGTGAAATTTTGATCAAATTGTAGATTCATGTTCCAGAATGTTAGCCTGTGGAAAGCTCATGACTTGATCATTATACAGAGAAAAACCAAAGTTACTATTTCACCCTTTTACTTCTTAACATCCTGTGGTAAAATTGAGTAATTGAACTTGGTTTATGCTTCAGATTGAACTTGCTTCTCAACACAATAGTTTTTGATTCACATCAATATTTCATTTTTAAGAGAAAATAGGAGTGTTTTAAGAAAGTTTGGCATTTTTCATTTTTTTCAACAATAATCAAAACCTACACAAAATCATTTAATAATAATTTAAAGAATAAATTGAACTTATTTCTACCTCATTTTCTTAGCACTTACAAAAACCTTAATTACAAAAACAAACAAAGGCAAATGAGCCTCTTGAGTTTGTTGCTTTTGATGCTCTATAGGTATTGAATTATTGTTTTTTTCCATACTCTCCTAAAACACTTGTATGTTTTCTCAAAAACAAAATATTGACGTGAATCAAGAACCATTTTGTTAAGAAGGGACGAAAAAGGATCACACTTCAATTCAAAACATGATGAACTCAAGTTTAACTACTCATCTTTTCCACAGGGCCTTATGCAGTTAAGGGGGAAAGAATAACTTTTGTTTTTCCCTGTATAATGATCAAGCCATCAGCTTTTCTCAGAACCTAATATTCAGGCTAACATTCCAAAACATGAATATATGATTTGGTCAAAATTTCACAAAAATCGCACAAGAGCCGGTTTTTTCGCCAGTGAGTGTATCACCTTACATGACAAATTTCGAATAAGGAAGAAATATTCAAAATGAATTGAATATAATTCGTAAATAGAGATGAAAAAGTTATCACCGGTCGCCGGTTTCTGGTCTGGTTTCCTCTTCTGTACAATTTTTCCGTCGATTAATAACACGTCGCTTCTTCCATCTAAAACATAGTTGGTATTATATCTCGAATTTGTAATATATTGAGAATTGAAATCAAGAGAAGAAAGTTACATGGAATAAGAAACTGAGATATATATGAAAACTGTTTTCAAATTCCGTTGCTGAAACGCGACATATTCTATTACTCAAAAAATGAGTGGAACAGATAGCCAACAATTTTCTCCTTAATGAGAAACACTGTTTATACCTAACCCATCAGGCACCTACCCCGGTTGCAACGAGGGTTTACCGATGCCAAGGGTTGATACTCTCCCCTCGTAAGGGTACCTGTCGTGTCTCCATTGAGACATAAAGGTGACTATTGAAAAATTTTCTATGATATATCGCCTTCCATAACAAATATAAAATTTGGAAGAAATATTTAAAATGAATTGAATATAATTCGTAAATAGGAATGAAAAACTCATCACCGGTCGCTGGTTTCTGGTCTGGTTTCCTCTTCTGTACAATTTTTCCGTCGATTAATAACATGTCGCTTCTTCGATCTAAAACATAGTTGGTATTATATCTCGAATTTGCAATATATTGAGAATTGAAATTATGAAAGTTACATGGAATAAGAAACTGAAATATATATGAAAACTGTTTTCAAATTCCGTTGCTGAAACGCGACATATTCTATTACTCAAAAAATGAGCGGAACAGATAGCCAACAATTTTCTCCTTAATGAGAAACACTGTATATACCTAACCCATCAGGCACCTACCCCGGTTGCAACGAGGGTTTACCGATGCCAAGGGTTGATACTCTCCCCTCGTAAGGGTACCTGTCGTGTCTCCATAGAGACATAAAGGTGGCTATTGAAAAAATTTCTATGATATATCGCCTTCCATAACAAATATAAAATTTGGAAGAAATATTTAAAATGAATTGAATATAATTCGTAAATAGGAATGAAAAACTCATCACCGGTCGCTGGTTTCTGGTTTGGTTTCCTCTTCTGTACAATTTTTCCGTCGATTAATAACACGTCGCTTCTTCGATCTAAAACATAGTTGGTATTATATCTCAAATTTGCAATATATTGAGAATTGACATTATGAAAGTTACATGGAATAAGAAACTGAAATATATATGAAAACTGTTTTCAAATTCCGTTGCTGAAACGCGACATATTCTATTACTCAAAAAATGAGTGGAACAGATAGCCAACAATTTTCTCCTTAATGAGAAACACTGTTTATACCTAACCCATCAGGCACCTACCCCGGTTGCAACGAGGGTTTACCGATGCCAAGGGTTGATACTCTCCCCTCGTAAGGGTACCTGTCGTGTCTCCATAGAGACATAAAGGTGGCTATTGAAAAAATTTCCATGATATATCGCCTTCCATAACAAATATAAAATTTTGAAAAAATATTCGAAATGAATTGAATATAATTCGTAACTAGGAATGAAAAACTTATCACCGGTCGCTGGTTTCTGGTCTGGTTTCCTCTTCTGTGCAATTTTTCTTCAATTAATAATACGTCGCTTCTGAGATCTAAAGCATAGTTGGTATTATGAGTATCTCGAATTTAAAATATATTGAGATTTGAAATCATGAAAGTTACATGGAATAAGAATCTGAAATATATATGAAAACTTTTTCGAGTTCAGTTGCTGACACTGACACGATTTGTAAGCATGCAGGACGTTTGAGTCATCTGAAAGTTATGATTGGTTCAAAATCATACGAAGAAAATCACCAATGATATATACTGCTCGTCGATAGCCATGAAATCAACGATATTTTAGGAAAATTATATTAGGTGACAAAGTCAATTGAAACATAACATAACAGCAAGTTATGCCCGAAATGCATACAATATTTTATGCACGAACGATATATTTTTTTCTTCGTGAATACCTCTTCATTAGTACCTATATTCTTGGAAATATTAGTGGGATGCAGTCTGGACCAATGAATTAATTAGATTTCTTCGTTATTTGTCGAGCTTTCGAAAATTTTTATTTTCTTTATCAAGACTAACTGAAAACATCGAATGGAACAATAATATTAGAATATAAATGTACATCAAATGAAATTGGTATACTTACAAACATGAAATTCTATATAAAATTAGCACAAAAAGGAAACATAGGTGTATAAATAAAAATGAAATGATTTGACAAAAAAATGTCATAGATGATGGTTGACTCATTTTTTTGTCAAATCATTTCATTTTTATTTATACACCTATGTTTCCTTTTTGTGCTAATTTTATATAGAATTTCATGTTTGTAAGTATACCAATTTCATTTGATGTACATTTATATTCTAATATTATTGTTCCATTCGATGTTTTCAGTTAGTCTTGATAAAGAAAATGAAAATTTTCGAAAGCTCGACAAATAACGAAGAAATCTAATTAATTCATTGGTCCAGACTGCATCCCACTAATATTTCCAAGAATATTATTATAGAACAGTCACGAAAGCTTCCCCTTGTTAGTACCTATATGTACATTTATCACTTATTTTGTAAAATTAATTTAAACAGCGTGCCGAAATATGAGTGCATGTGATTAACTGAAGGTTAATTATAATATAGGTGATTATAATAATGAAAAAGTGTCAAAATATTCTTCAGGAGATCATGAAATGTTTCAGTAGATTAGTAGATCGATATGCAAATCAGGAGTTCTGCTGAAAATTCAGTAGAACTGGCAACACTGCCTTCGGAAATAGTCGGTTTTTTGTTTGGAAATTAAGAACGTAAAATGTGATTTTATATAGAGATCGACGAAAAACAATTTCATTTATGAAAATCGTTCAAACTTCGATTCACAGGTAATCATACCTTTCTCTGTCACACTCATTGAGCATATGGAACGCGAATATCTTCGTTATCGTTTGATATAACCCTATCAAACCCGGTATCATTTCGTTATAATAATCCAAAATCGATTATGGAATATAATATAGGCTGTTCCATCCTATAGGTTAAAGTGTAATCATAGTTTTATACTGAACTTTCGCCTAATAAATTAATATTTGAAAATCGAAAGTTGATGTCAATTCCAGTATAACCGAAAGAGGAAAAAAAAAATCCCAAAATGTGAGAAAGTGCCCTTCTATAGTAATGGTATCGATGTCCCGAATTCCAAAAATATAGCTAGAAAGAAAGCGAATTTCAAATTTTTTCATCGTTATATTATGGAGTTATATCGAAGCAAAATACCAACCACGTGATGAATACCTACATATTCCTATACAAAAACACTTACCATGATGAAAATATACAACTTTCACACACTCAAATGAAAATGCAATCACCAAACCGAATTTGAATTCTAATTTTCCACTCTTAAATAATTCGAGTTATTTTTTTATATCGCACTTGAATCGACTATACGCGATGAAATCTATAATGAGACTACTGATTGGTTTGATTCACAATTTTGATGACTAATTAGTTACGTCATCCTTTCAACCGATTAATTCACGAACAAGTATGACTAAATCCGTTATCATCATCGATAGTAGGTACGGGGGGTGTGGTAAAAAGACATTTAATATACAGTGTCACCGTTGAAATCCACATTATATGGGATTTTTCCATTATTCAGTTTGTGCAAATCAGGATTTCATGGACAGTTAT